CATGCATGTTCCCATGCACTCCCTCCATTAGTTTCTTCTTATTTTGGGGCGTTCTGGCTGTGTTTTTCTGGTCCCGTGCAAATTTACAAAAATAGTAGATTTTACTAGTAAATTCTTCAATTTAGTAAATTTACTAAAATAGTAAATTTACTACTTTTGCAGACTTAGGGTGGTGCTGTGGCTGCGAATGATGACGATATATGTTGTGGCGGAGGAAGCAGCCCGGAGGCAAGGGAATGGAACGGTGGGCTTCGTGAAGGAGCAGCCGCGAGACCGGGTGGATGTGCATCGCGACCAACTTGTGAGTGTATGGCGGTTGAAGGCCTTTGCCTTGACCAAGGACCACTTGGGCATGAGCGCCGGAAACCAACGACCCTTGGGACGAACCTACAGGTACTGCAGGGACTGGGGGAGATTTCTGGTCCTGGACAAGGAGGTGAAGCTTGGTCGGGAGATCTGTCCGAGAGGATTGCGCAGACAAAGAGGTGGTCAGCGTGGGCGCCAGGATTGGTCACGGAGATCAAGAACGCGGTGAAGGAATGCCGGGGAGATCAAGGTGGTGGTGAGTGTGCTCTCAGACCCTTGAGCTCAGATGTGGAAGCATTTCCGATGTGACCATCAGCCAGCGCGACGGGACTGCCGGACTTGCGTTGAAAGCCAGGGGAGAGGCCGTCCTCATCGACGGATACATCATCCGCGGGCACACACGCTCTCGGTGGATTTGTCTGGGAGGCTGCAGAAAGGGCAAGATCAGAGGTGCCAGGCGGAATACTTCGTTGCGGCGGTCTACACATGGGCGGTCATTGTTGACGGAGCATCATGAAGAGCCCATCCCGGAGGACGCCGAAGAGACCGCAGTCGACGTTTTAGAAGGAGGATGAGGAACAGGTTCCTCCAGAAGAAGCAGATCGAGAGATCAAGGCGGTAGACATCTGGCAAAAGATGTGGACGAGGGGCCCAAAATGTCGCGGTCACCAACCTGACGTTTGTGGAGCCAATCAAGACCCGGAAGGTTTCGGATGTTTTGCCGGCAGTCGCCAGGATCTATGCACGGCTTTGGGAAATGGGCCTGCCGGCGTATCGTCTGCGCTCCGATAGGGCCCGGGAACTGATGGCTGCGGAGTTAAAGCGGTGGGCAGAAGACCGGAATATCGTGAAGACAACGTTCCGGGGGACGCGTTCAAGGAGAATGGAAGGGTGGAAGCAGAGATCGGAGTCCTCAAGAGGGCAACTAGGACGTTGCTGAAGGCGGCGGAGGAGCCGGGAAATTCGTGGCCGATGGCATTGAGACATACAGGGGAACGGAGGCTTCGAAGACAGCTGCAAGTGGTGGGACTGCCGGTCAAGGAGTTGCTCCCCTGGGGAACGACCGCGTATGTGAAGAAGAAGAGTTGGAATGAGCGGTACCAGGATTGGAGGTTTGACAGAGAGAAGGTGAAGATCATGGGGCCAGATGCAGCGATGTCATCTACCTCAGGAGGATATTGGGTTCGGAGCTGCGGGGACGGCAGGTATTTTGCCACAACAGATGCCATTCCGGAGCCTGAAAAGGTGATCGTGGAAATGGGGAGGAGGTTCTGGAAGAAAAGACGGAGCCGGACTTGCTGATGCCCCGGGCAGAGAGACCAAGCAGGCGACTGCGAGAAAAGACGGCCATGTCGACGATGATCGTCGAGGGGGAGAATTAAGGTCACGGAGCAGATCAATTTTGAGCGATGGCACCAACATGCCACAGAGTGGCTCAAGGAAGAGCTGGAGATCCTGCATGCCAGCCAAGAAGATCAGGAACTATGGTTGGGAGTGCTACGTGAAGGACTGAAGCGGCCCTGAATAGCACGCAGGTCAACGAAGCGGTGAAGGTAGAAGAGGAATGGCTTGTGAGAGGAGAGCTGGACAGCTGGAGGGAGGCGGCCAAGAAGGAGTACATGGCGCTGGTGGAAGAAAGCAGAGCAGTGAGACCAATCACGAGGAGTGAGATTGAGAAGACTGCTGGTCCAGTGGAAATCCTGCCCGGAAAAGCCGTATGCACCCGAAAGTCGCCAGACGGGAGGAGGAAGGTTAGAGGAGTGGTGTGCGGGAATTTTTCGGCAGGAAAAGGTGCTGATGAGGTGTACGCTGGAGGAGCGGACGCGCTTCAGATCAAGAGGAGGTGGTCTGTGCTGGGCACGGACATACACACCGCGTTTCTGAATGCGCCAAGGAGAGAGGACGGGCGGACGGTCATCATGGAGGTTCCGCCATCTTCAAGGAGTTGGGCATCGCGAAGAGAGACGAAGTGTGGGTCGTTGAGTGTACGGACTGGTCACTTCGCTGGGAAGGTGGAGGGAAGAAGCTCAGGTTTGCGGAAACCAAGGAGCCGAACCTCTGGCACATCGTTGAGATCGAGTCGGGGTTCATTGCAGGCCTCATGTCGATCCATGTGGATGACGGGCGGGTGAGGACGAGGTGATCGACTCAGCGAGAGCCACAATGGATGGAGGGAATTGGAGGTTATCGCCGGCAGAACGAGCCACAAGCGAGGTGCCGTTGCGATTCTGCGGGTTCGAGATCTACAAGAAGGACGGTGGGTACCGCACCAACCAGAAGGCCTTCGCGGAGGATCTCACAGCCAAGTGGGGGATAGAAGACGGCACAGAGACTTTGACCTACAAGTTGCCAGATGAAGAATCCAGACATCAACGTGGCGGTGGCAGCAATGTCGAGGTGGACGAAGAAAGGAAAACACGTGGTGAAGATGGGCAAGGACGTGCTGAAGTGGACGAAGAAAGGACAACACGTGGTGAAGATGGGCAAGGACGTGCTGAAGTGTGTGAAGGCCACAGCAGACCAAGGCCTGAACTACGGGGTAACCGAGGGATGGGCGTCCAAGCAAGGATTGGGGATGCGGAGACAGCAGAACATGGTGGAGGTCTTTGCGGATATATCCTATGCTTCGGGAGGCCAGGACAAAAGCGTGCAGGGGATCATTGGCTTCGTGGATGGGGCTCCGGTGTGCTGGGAGACAATCCGGCAGCCATTTGTGGCGCAAAGCACGGTGGAGGGAGAGCTCATTGAGTATTGCGAGGCGCTTACCGTTGGCAGAGCACTGGTGGCATTGGCAGAGGTCGTCACTGGAGAGGCGGTGAAGCACAAGCGCATGTACGGAGACAACATGGCGGCCATCAGCCTGGCTTCGAATGGTGCGGGAAACTGGAGGACTCGGCATCTTCGGATTCGAGCCTCAGCACTTCGGTGGGCCTTGGAGAGAAGGCAAGAAAGGTTAACAAGTTGGGCAGGGGAGATGAACCGCCCAAGGGAAAACACCTCCAAATAAAGCCCGGGAGCCGCAGCTGTTTCAAATCACCACTGCCCAAAGGGCTGCCTTCGCTTTTTGGGGCTGGAGAGTAAGGTTGAGGAGGGCATTCTCGGTGCGCTAGTCGTCGCAAGGGAGACGGCTAAGGGAACCTTGGGTTGTGCGAAAAGGCTGATGAAGGTCACTGCATCGGTGGACCGAATTGGAGAGGACCCAAGGGTCGAGGTGCAGAAGAAGGAGACAAAGGTCGCCGACGACCAACGGGGAAGAGTGTGGGGACGGTGCGGGGGGCTTGAGCAGTTTGACAGCTCTTCATCAAGGTCGGAGGACGGTGAAGAGGAGGTTTTGCAGCAATCTGTGCCAGACAGGAGGCAACAACGGGAACATGGACGAAGAGAGATGGTGCAGCATCCGGCAAGGCTGCTGCGAGCACTGCTTGGTTGGAGGGAAGGACCATTGCGGAGGCCGCGGAAGGGACAAGGTCTAACCTAGCGGCGCGGGCAGGATTGCCGAGACGAAGCTGCAGTTCTACATGGAACCAGCTTCAACGTGACAATCGCGGACGCGGTTGGACGGCAAGGCAGATGAAGCAGAAGTACTGGGAGATGATGCAGGCGGTTAACAGGTGAGGGGCTTGAGCGGAATCTTGCAGATGCGAAAGCATCTTTTTGCAAGAACTTTTGTGAAGTGGGTAAACAATTTGACGGGGGCTTTTCGCTACGAGTAGCGAGGGGGAGCCCCTCTGAGGCAGGTTGTGAACATGGGGTTACCGAAGCCCCTTCGGTCTGCGCATAGCAAGGCCGTAAAAAGCCACGAAAACGGGTACCCTCAGACCCAAATATATATATATATAGACAAACACAAACCCAGCTTTGCCCGCAAATCAAGTAGAGAATGAAGCTGCGCTCCCTGCGTGCGCTTGCAATCGCGCTCCAAAGACCAGCCTTTTGCAGCACAGAAAAGGATGGGCCACAAGGCTACAAGAGCCACAATCTACAATCTGAACTTGGATCTTGCAAGGTTAAGGCACAGCCGCTAGAATAAGGTGCAGCCCGCGAGATTCTTGACCTGGCCACTTGAATGAGTCCTTTTCATCTTTGCTTAGAAAGAGATGAGCTGGTTTAGATGGGTGTGTTATGCCCGGTTCACCAGGGAAACCCATCTATTTCTATCCAATAAGGACACCTGTTCAGGTATCACCTAGTTGGTGGTTTGGGATTTGTAGAGCGTAAGTGGGAAACCCTTCCTGAACCACCAAACCACAAATCCACACCACCAATTGGAGGGAAGCTGAGCTGTGATTCTGACTGCCATTGAACTTCAGGCAGCTGTTGAGCGACTCGCTGGGCGGCAACGCGAAGACCTTGGTGCGGCGCCCAGCGGCGTTCGGGTGGAGAAGGTTCAAGCGAGAAGCGGCGCGTTTTGGTGGGGCTGTTGTTGCTGTGATGCCCGTGTTGCGTCGAAAAGAACACCAAGAGGAAAGCTCCAAAAAGCCCACGGTCTGGCATTTGTTGCGTGAAAAGAAGCCCAAACTCATGGTAGTTTGACTCACTTCCTGAGTTCCAGGATTTGTTTTGTTTGCCAATCTACTGAGGAAGTGCGCCAAAAGGAAGCTCCTCCAAAAACAACTTGTTCCATTCGGGACTTGGTAGTTTGAGACAGGAACCCATGGACATTGTGGACTCCGTCACAGACTGTCCGACGCCAGATGTTTGTGAACTGCTCGCCGGCTAGCGGCAACTTGGATGAGACAGGAGCTGCGCTGGAGCCTTGGTTCACTGCAAAAGTCTTGGCTGGGTCTCTTCCATTTGCTTAAGAATATGTGTTATTTTCTCTGTTTGTGTCTATTACCACTGGAAACTATGTTGTTCTTTCCAGGGGGCGAAAAAGCAAATGGATCCCGAGAACTCAGGCTCCTCTACGCAGTGAGGGCCAAGAACATTGTGAACAAGGTGGCAGAATGGAGCCTGCCTGGCTTAGGCATTTTTCGCCTTTTCGGATTGAATGGCTTGGTTTTTCTCATGAAATGGCTGGGCAAGCCCAGCCCAGGCATCCGGTTCCTTAGGCGAATTCGGATTCATTTTTCTGTTGGTTCAGTGGTTTGGTGTCCATTTCACCCGCTAGAAATTGGAAAGTATCCGATCTGAAAACGGGCAGCCCAGGAATGCTCCTCCTCGGTACCCAAGTTGCCGACCCCCGTTGTTCAACGCGGCCCTGACAGGTGGAGAAGAACTCGGATAGCCAAGAGGTGGCGCGATTGAAGAAGGCCGGACTCGTGGAGACAGCCTCTCATAGTTGTCTAGGTCCCGGAAGCTAGGTGCCCTTTCTCGCCGTTTCTTTGTTGGGGAAGGGTTCCCCTATTAAAGTAGACCAGAAAAAAAGGGGCACCTTGATTCCAACCTGTCTGCTGGAGGACCTAGTTGTTTTGGTACAGGTGCAGGGAATGAGAATGGCCGTGGTTGTGAAAACCGTCTATTTTAGTGGGGATTGGGATGTTCACTGGGAGCACGGGATTTGGCCTCCAGGGGCATGGGTTGCATCAATCCCGGCGTCACTTGGCCCGACCAGCTAACTTGGTCGTGTGTTTTTCTTTGGGGGCGGATGTTGACACCAAAGTGGTCGACTCAACCAGCAAACTTTGTCGTGTTTTTTTGTTGAGGGGGATGTTGACGCTAAAGTGGTCGACCTCAGCCGGACATATCCGGCTTCGGGGGGCACCACACCATGGTACCCAGTTGTAACCGGCTCCGTATCAGGTGATTCAGACGCTGAGCTCTGAGCTAGAACAGGCGCCGTGCGAGAGAAAGTCCCAAAGGAGGCCACTGGCTTGCTTTGTTGTTCGAGATAGAAGAAGGACACGGGCTCTCATAGAGATCGCCGAGAGCTTCAAAAGGATCGCAGATGGTTGAGAACACCTTTTGATCCAGTTGATCGACCGGATCTCAAGTGGTCATGGGTTGGATGCACCTCGTCCGTTGAATCCATTGGGGTTTCGGCATCCAGCGATTGGAGCGAGGGCCTCGCGAGGCCCGGAAGAACGGCGCGGCGTTGCCGGACTTGGGGGAGGCGGAGAAGGAGAAGGAGACGTGAGCCCGAAAGGCGAGAGGAGGGGTGGGGTGGGGGTGGAGATGAGTGGGTGAGTGGAGTGGGGATGAGTGGGTGAGCGGAGCGTGGGGATGAGTGGGTGAGCGGGTGAGTGGAGTGGGGATGTGAGTGGAGTGGGGATGAGTGGGTGAGTGGGGAGTGGGGATGATTGGGGATGAGTGGGTGCGAGGAGTGGGGATGAGTGGGTGAGTGGAGTGGGGATGAGTGGGAGAGCGGGTGAGTGGAGTGGGGATGAGTGGGAGAGCGGGTGAGTGGAGTGGGGATGAGTGGGAGAGCGGGTGAGTGGAGTGGGGATGTGAGTGGAGTGGGGATGAGTGGGTGAGTGGGGAGTGGGGACGAGTGGGTGAGTGGAGTGGGGATGAGTGGGAGAGCGGGTGAGTGGAGTGGGGATGTGAGTGGAGTGGGGATGAGTGGGTGAGTGGGGAGTGGGGATGATTGGGGATGAGTGGGTGCGAGGAGTGGGGATGAGTGGGTGAGTGGGGAGTGGGGATGAGTGGGGATGAGTGGGTGCGTGGAGTGGGTGAGCAGAAGTCACAGTTTGAAAGCCAAAAGTGCGTGGCGTGCAAAGCTCCGCGCAGGTCGATGAGGCTTTCTGGGTGTTAATGAGCCTGGCCATCCTGGCAAGACGACAGGAGGGCGTCCTGCGGCAAAATCGGCTGCAGAGTAGTCTCGGTTAGATGCCCAAAAGAAGAGCTGTGCTCGCTGCCACAGATCGAGATGATGGGACTGTGTGTGCGTGCGTGTGTTTTGGACATGCTCAAATGACTTCATGCTGCTTAATATTTTTTGTCTTGCGTTCCCTTGTTCGTTTTAGCGGGAACTCAGCACTACTGGAGTATATATATATATATATTATATGTCATGTTTGTCCAGGCAAAAAAGCAAGTGGACGATGATGGGTGTTCTTCTGGGTCCTAAGCATCACCCAGCACTCTGACACATCTCGCACGCCTTTCTCTGGCTCCCAGGGTGAGGGTGTCCCTTGAGTCGCGCCCTACCTCCCCCGAAAAGCAGCACAACAAAGCCGCGTGAGATGGCGATCCGGTCCCGGCCATCCGGTTCCTTAGGTGGGTTTTGAGTTGGTTTGGTGGTTGGGGTTCCATTGGACCGCCTAAAAACTTTGGACTTTGCGCAGGGGAAGGCCGAACACCTTGCAGCCCAGATAGCTAGGGGTGGGGGATTCCAGGGCGCCTATGGCGATGAACTACCCCCATTGTCCCTTAAGCCTCGAGCCAATGGAATTGGAATGGCTATGGGTCAAAACCCAAATCGTACCCCCAGTGAACATCCCAATCACAAACATAGGTTCTAAGATATGGGTGGTGAATTCACCAATCCCAACCAAAATGAGATCCCGTTTAATTGTTTGGACCACCACGGGCAAATGGTGTACTCCAGCACGAGTTGACCACATGCCCGTGGAACCCGAAAAAAACCAAAGAGCATCACCCCGGCGGGGACCTGCAACCAGGGAGCCCATGCGGGGTGCCAGCCATGGCGGCCCGGCGTTCTGCCCCAAAGGACAGACGCCCTCGGAGAACCAACTCAGTTCAAAGCCGACCTTTTGACCTTCTGGTTTTCCCTTTTTGGTCTATTTTTACAGTAGAGGTCCCAAAAGGTTAACCTTGTATTTGCAGGTCCTTTGGGCAGGTGAGCCAATCATTAAGCCGCTTGAACCCAGGTCTGGTTTGAGCATGGAGCATTTTGCCCGGCGGTCAAGGCATTTCACAATCTGAGCAACTGGCAATATCACAAGGGCATTGGTTTTGGGTGGCCCCCTTTCAGCTTGCATGTGAACTGTGGACAGCCGTAGCGGTTTTGGCCAGTTGTTTGAAGGATCCCCTCCACCCTGGACTAAGCTACAAGAAATCTTGTCGTGGGGTTGAGGCATGGCTCAAGCGAGCGCGCAGCGGTCAGGCTGTGCCATTGGGATCGCTGCTTATCACCCCTTGGAGCATTGAACTGCAACGTCTGGCAAGCCGCACTCCTCTTTTCTTGGTGGCTCCCACCCATCCGGTTCCTTAGCTTTTCAGCCTTTTAGTTTCCATGTAACCCACTAAAAGTTAGTCACTAGCGGGGGATCTGAAAACGGGCAGCCCAGTTTTGTCATGGCATGCGAATTGGCTCAGCGCAGTTCCAGGACACTCCTTGCTGTATTTCTGGACGCCAGAGGCGCATCCAGTCGCCATGCCAAGTGTGCAGATCAACCACGAGGTTTGACGGGTTTCTCAGACCACTTGCGGCTGTTTGCAGTTTGCCTTTCTTTTAGAGAACGGTTTGGATGCGTGTTTTTTGGTGGATTTTACCCGTTTGGTCCTTTCTGAGTACTCTTTGTTTGAGTATTCTTTTCATTTTCTTTTGCGGTGGATCCACAAAAGCCACATCCAAGCCGTTTTCTCCATTCATATCGGCTGTATCTTGCGTGGCGATAGGGCCACGGGTCAGTGCACACCATGGAAATATGGGTGGCTTGTCGTTTTTGCAGGTTGTGCCAACCTTTTTGGCTGGTTTCAACGCAAAACCAAAAGAGGAACGCGCCACCTTTTTGTAGGGTCCGATCCCTAAAAAAGGCACATCCATACAGGAAAAGCGGGAAAAGGACACATCCCGGGAGGCCGGCTACAAGTGCGACAAGTGCTCCTCGATGTTTCCTGCTGGAAGCATGATGCGCGGCTGCTGCGACCCCGGATGCATTTGCAGCGGCTCAGCAGGGAATGACCCAGGTCTTGGGAATGAGCCGGAAAGGAGACCATAGGAGATGGCTGAAAGGGGTCATTCCAATTATCATTCCCTGCTGAGAACCATCAAGATTTGTCCAAACCTGGGTTTGAGCATGGCTTGGTTCGCATTTTCCAACCCAGGTCAGAGGTGCAACTATGACCTCTGTGATGCTTGCCAGAAAGCCACGCAGGCGCGTCCGACTTCCAATACCCCAGCCATGGAATCTTGCAAGTGCCAATATCTTCCCAGAAGCTTTCAGAGGACATGAAATGCTCCCTTTCTTGCAAATTGTTGAAGTGCAGTCGCTACATGGGCGTTGTCGCCAAGCCAACAGTTTTCAGGCGGACAGGCCGGTTGCCAGAGTGGTCTCAGCCGGGGGCCTGGAGCTTTGCACAGTCGTTGCATGAAAGGCAGTGGCCCTCTCTTGGGCGTGAAGCCGCGTCCCAAAAGCTGTGATGGAGGTAGGAGGCACGCGGAACATGGGCCGTGGGTTTTTTGTTGCACGCTTCTGCCATTTGTGCGTTTTGTGGTCCACTTGCGGGGGGGGTGAGGGGATGGGGAGGTATGGGGGCATGAAAGCGACGACATCAAAAGCAGTGTTGCTGCCGCTGTTGCAGTTCATGGACAAATCTTCTGTTGCGTTTGCTCTCTCTCCCTCTCTCTCTCTCTCTCTACAGAAAAAAGGGTACCCTTATTCCATCCTCTCTACTGGAGGACCTAGTCTCTCTCTCCCTCTCTCTCGCTCTCTCTCTCTTTCTCTCCCTCTCTCTCTCTCTCTCTCTCTCTCCCTCTCCCTCTCTCTCTCTCTCTCGCCTCTTGCGCTTTTGCTGAGGCTTCACGAGCACACTCGTGCTCGCGGCTTCGCTTCCCTTCACTGATCCCCTTTCACTCGGACTCAGCCCATCTTGTTCGCGCCAATGACTGACTGCTTTGGTTCGCTCGACATCTTGACCTAGGCCTAGGCCCTCTCGGCCGCGAAACTGCCCTGTCTCCTCAACTCTTGGCTCGCTCACCTGTTCACTTGTTCCAGGTGCTGCTCGACTGCTTTCTCTGCTGCGCTTGGAGTGTCTCCTCGGCTTTCAGGTTTCCATGAAGAAGAAGTGGACATGGTTCCCGCTCGCGTCGTCACGGGAACGCAGAGCATAGACTGCTGCAGGCAAAGCCTCCGGCGATACTTGCCAAAACCCCCTGAATAGCCGGCAGGGCGCGGCCAAGGCGTCAGCACATGACTCTTGTAGCGGTACAGTTGTTTTTGGCGAAGTCAAGGGAAGCAAGACTGCAAGTTCATTAGGAAGCCCTTCGTGCTGCAAGAAAGCAGTGGAGCGAAACCACGGTGTTTTGCTTTTCAAGATGCGGCGCGCACCTGGTTTGACCTGATTGAAAACACGGCCGAGCTTGAAAGGTATACACAATGCATCTTTGCCTTTATGGCACCATAGTTCATGACATTGCGTTGCGCTGCATTACATTGGCTTACACTGCGTTGCACCAAATTCCGCTGGGTTGCAATCAACTGCGTTAGGTTGGATTGCAGCGCGCTACAGCATATATTCGGCGCCGGTATTGGTCCTGGTGACACTCATGAGCGCGGAAGGCTTGTCTTGCCGCACAGGGCACCACTTATAGACGGGGAAAAAAAAAGAAGGAAAAAGCACATACGCGACTTACATGGTTGCTTGCCAAGCTCGTCAGGCTCGCTGACACTATAAGCTTGCTGCATGAGGCAGTTTTCTTGCTGCTCAGCAACAAATGAGAAATGGAATGACCCCTATAAACCATCCCTTATGGCCCCAGATTGATTCCCAAAGACCCTGGGTCATTCCCTATCGCACCGATCGCAAGTTCTGTCGCGGGAATCGCGCGCGGTTTGAGGTGGCCAAGGCCAGCCCTACGCCGGTGAGGCAGGGAAGCCACGGAGCCAATGGGCGGCCGCTTATCGGAAATGCGTGGCTCTGGCGAAAAGCTTTTCGGCCTTGAGCCATTGGGCTCCGTTGAGACTTACGAAGTAGCTAGGACAAGGCTCATGTCAACAAATTAGTCAGTTGTGAATAATTCGATATGCTTTGGATGTGAGTGTCATTTGTCATTGTTTATGCCTACCGCCTTGCTTTTTGTTGCTCAATGGTTTAGATATGGCTTGGATATGGTTGTTGTATGTGGTTTACATACAGAGGCAAACAACAAGAATCATTTGTCTTGTGGTTGTTTGAAGTGATTGTTGCGCATCACTGGGCACGTGTGTCCATTTTGGCTAAAATCATGCCAGCCTGCCAAGCATTTGGTGCTGAAACACCAACCTTAGCATGAAGTCAGGCAAGCAAACCCGCTGAATTTAAGCATATAAGTAAGCGGAGGAAAAGGAACTAAATAGGATTCCCTTAGTAATGGCGAACGAAGGGGGAACAGCGCTCGTTTTTGTTTTTGTTTTAGGAGGTTTTACATCGCACCTTTCAATGGTTTTGGGCTTGGACATATGTCAATCCTGCCAGGCGCGAGATGACCTACAAGATGCCGGTTGCAGCAGTGGCGCAAGGCCCGTTCCGCCCAGAAATGGGACTCCAGGGATTCAACATGTGGGGGATGTATCATACTTATTCCGTCGGCCACCAGTTTGTCATCCTTTTTTGGTGGTTTCCCCCAATGATCATCCCATGTAAAGGGCCTTGTGATCAACCACATGTGAGTCACGTCCTCAAAACCTATTCGGGTAGTTGGAGGGTAAGGGACATGTGAGAGGGAATCCAGATTCCACTTGAGCCACTTGCTCAAAACCGCTCGGTGGATGAAGGTAAGGGACAATCTCTCCTTGCCAGAAATGGGTGCGGATATCCGCCTTTTCAATTCTTGAAGATGGTGGGCAGACCATTTTACTACCAGGTGTTTGATTATGACTCGTGTCAGAGGGAATCCGGATTCCACTTGGGGAAGCAGATCCTCTGTCAGATTAATCTGGGGCCGACATTGATTTTGGCCTTCATGAAAGCAAAGGTGCTTCCTAGTGTTGGAGCACAACGAATTCCCTGGGGCCAAATACAGTTCCTTTACGTGAGTCATCTTGTGTGGCAGGCAGCATGGTTCTGAAGATAGTTGTGCAGGCAAAATGCAAATATGTCAAGACACACGAACACACAAAATGCCAAAAGCGGGCCAAACATGGCCGCCTTGATACTACAATATGCTTGTTACCACCGTGCTGCAAAGCACATGTCAGATGGGTGAGTGTTTCTGGAGCAATCGCGGGTCTACATACAGCGAGGCGGCCTGAAAGATGGGTAATCCCTTCTCGCAGGTAATCGAGGCTTCGTGCTGCCACACAATGGCTGGGATGCCCAGCCAAGCTGTGTTTGTGCATGTGTGTGATGATTCCCTTCTGAGACAGTTTCACGGAAGAACCTGCACAATGGAAGTCCGTAAAATGGCACAGTCGCCAGGCTACTATCGAGTTCTGTCAACACGCTGGGATGCGCTGGGCTAATGCCACGACGTTGGCCCTTGAGAATAGTCCAAAGAATGTTGCCCTGTGAAGTATTAAGTTGAGTTTCTGCGGCGCCTGCATGCTGAAAAGACACCAGCGATGTTGTATTGTGAACTTGCTTGATTCAAGGACAGAGATCATGCCGATAGAGCTGTGACAATCTCATGTGGTTGCTTCCCCGCTTAATGTGCTTGCTCGGTCACCGGGTCCTGTTCCAGGAGCCGAGAACTACTCAGCGCCGAGCCCTGTGAACGGTGCATCGGCTGCAATAAAGAGTCTTCAAGCTGAGTCACATTGTTTGTTGGACATGTTTCCCGTGCTGTTTGCATGTTTTATTGAAAGCGTTCTTTGATACTGATTTTCTCCCACAGCGTCCCAGGCTGGGTAAAAGGACAAAAAATGCAGTAGAGAATGGGCGAGCAACCATACTCATGCCAAATTTCAATACGTTGCCAATGCAGCCGAACTGGCCATGTTCACAGCATCATGCACTAGGACCCTTCGGTTCACTACTAGTATGTCCTGCATTTTCCTCAGTGAATAAGAAGATTGCAAAGCAGCTAGTATCCTTGCCCCACAAATAAGTTGACCTGAACTAAAAACGCAAGAGGTCGTATCGATGAGCTGTGGTAATCCTGTGGGTTTGCTTCCATAGTCAGGTTGCCTGTTAGCCCAGAGCGTCCATCTTCCCTCAAGTTATAGCTTGTGCAGGAGCTGGGAACTTCTTAGCACTTTGCGTTGGCAGCTGAGCCCTCTTTGTCAATGTCCAGTGGTTGCCCCTACAGCCAAACGGAAGAATGCGGTTTCAGAGGCATGATGAAGTACACAGAGTGATGCTAGTCGAAAGAAGCAAGCGGAGTCACATTGGCTGTTCGACATGCTGCCCATGCTGTTTGCATGTTTTATCGAAAGCCTACTGCCTTGATACTGACTTTCTCCCAGCATGTCCCAGGCTGGGTAAAATGTGCAAATTGTATGGAGTACAAACTGGGGCAAGCAACGGTACCCATGCCGAAGTTCAATATGTTGCCGCGGTCGCAGCGTCATGAATTAGGACCCTTCTGTTCCATGCTGGTATGTCCTGCATTTTCCTCGGGGGGGGGGGGGGGGGGGCAGCGAATTAGAAGATGCAGCAAACAAAGCAGGTAACATCTTTGCCCTGAACTGAACTAAAAACGCAAGAGGTCGTATCGATGAGCTGTGGTAATCCTGTGGGTTTGCTTCCATAGTCAGGTTTCCTGCTAGCTCACAGCGTCCATGTTCCCTCAAGTCATAGCCCGCGCAGGAGCTGGGAACTACTCAGCACCAAGCCCTGTGAACCGTGCATCGGCTGCAATAACGAATCGCTGGGAGCTTGAGCTTTGCGTTGGCAGCTGAGCCCTCTTTGTCAATGTCCAGTGGTTGCCCCTGCAGCCAAACGGAAGAATGCGGTTTCAGAGGTATGATGAAGTACGCAGAGTGATGCTACTCGAAAGAAGCAAGCGGAGTCGCACTGACTGTTGCACATGCTGCCCATGCTGTTTGCATGTTGTATCGAAAGCCTACTGCCTTGATACTGACTTTCTCCCAGCATGTCCCAGGCTGGGTAAAATGTGCAAATTGTATGGAGTACAAACTGGGGCAAGCAACGGTACCCATGCCGAAGTTCAATATGTTGCCGCGGTCGCAGCGTCATGAATTAGGACCCTTCTGTTCCATGCTGGTATGTCCTGCATTTTCCTCAAGGGGGGGGGCAGCGAATTAGAAGATGCAGCAAACAAAGCAGGTAACATCTTTGCCCTGAACTGAACTAAAAACGCAAGAGGGCGTATCGATGAGCTGTGGTAATCCTGTGGGTTTGCTTCCATAGTCAGGTTTCCTGCTAGCTCACAGCATCCATGTTCCCTCAAGTCATAGCTTGCGCAGGAGCTGGGAACTACTCAGCACCAAGCCCTGTGAACCGTGCATCGGCTGCAATAAAGAATCGCTGGGGGCTTGAGCTTTGCGTTGGCAGCTGAGCCCTCTTTGTCAATGTCCAGTGGTTGCCCCTACAGCCAAACGGAGGAATGCGGTTTCAGAGGTATGATGAAGTACGCAGAGTGATGCTACTCGAAAGAAGCAAGCGGAGTCGCACTGGCTGTTGCACATAGTGCCCATGCTATTTGCATTGTTTATCGAAAGCCTACTGCTTTGATACTGACTTTCTCCCAGCGTGTCCCAGGCTGGGTAAAATGTGCAAATTGTATGGAGTACAAGATGGGGCAAGCAACGGTACCCATGCCGAAGTTCAATATGTTGTTGCGGTCGCAGCGTCATGAATTAGGACCCTTCTGTTCCATGCTGGTATGTCCTGCATTTTCCTCAGGGGGGGGGGGGCAGCGAATTAGAAGATGCAGCAAACAAAGCAGGTAACATCTTTGCCCTGCGAACAAGTTGAAGCGAACTCCAATGCAAACCCCGGACCCTCCAATGGAGAACCCCGACCCCTCAAGGGCCCTCAACAATAGCCCATTTGGAAAGCCCAACAACAGTCGGGACCCTTAGGGTGGTTCGATAGGCAGGGCATGAGAAATGGAATCACCCCGAGAGAAAGCATCCCCGATTTGGTTTCCTTTAAGGAACCCCCTTCCGGCTCATTCTCAACATCTGGTCTCGGTCATTCCCTACTGAGTACGAGCAACTAGGAACGCAAGAGGTTGTATCGATGAGCTGTGGTAATCTGGTGTTTTTGCTTCCCCAGTCTGGTTTTCTGTTAGCTCAGAGCGTCCATGTTCCCTCAAGTCATAGCTTGCGCAGGAGCTGGGAACTACTCAGCACCGAGCCCTGTCAATGGTGCACTGGCTGCAATAAAGAATCGCTGAGGGCTTCACTTGAAGCAGCCTTGGGCCAGGCCCAAACTCCTTGGAGCTTAGCCAGTCTGGCAAGTGCTCCATGTTTGTTTCTGCTAGTTACATGTTGCTCAGCGAAGGCACACTGGACGAAGTTACAATCAAAGGTCGAGCTCGTTCGAGGTAGCGCCCACTTGTTGCAACCCAAACGTACGGGGCAAGTCTGACGCTCGCACCATGCGCAACTTCTTTCTTTGAGGAACTGGTGCCGGCCAAAGGCAGGTGCCTGGGCTTGTTGAGTTCTGAGAAGCACAGACAAATTTGGCCATGGGTCAAAAGCCCGTATTCCCAGTGAACATCCCAATCCCCACTAAAATAGGTTCTAAAATGGGTGGAGAATTCACCTACCCCAAAATGGTACCATTGGTTTTGACCCACAGCCATTTGTGCAGTTGTGACCTGCTGCTGTGGGGCGGTAGAACTCCAATGTTCAAGCTGCCACGATGCAGGCCTGGCTACGTCGGGCCAACATCCACGACAGGAGCAGGAATCGCATCCGTCCAAGTTTTTTGCCCTTCGGGCCAAACTCAACCTTTCGCCAGAGATGCAAGTGCAGCTGGCGCGGTGCCACTTCGCAAGAGAGGGCTATTCGGTGCAACTGGTCCCGTAGCGTGGCTTAACCTGCACCCTGATCTGGCGTGGCTTATTTTTCCAAGATTCTTGCGATCGGTGCGATAGGCAGGGAATGAGAAATGGAATGACCCCTATAAACCATCCAAGTGGTGGTTTCCTTTAAGGGGACTGCCAGGTTCATTCCGTGTCTCATTCCCCTGTCGCACCGATCGCAAGTATTTGGGGGTGTCCTCTCCTTGAGCTCGCAGGAAGCCGAAGTTGGGTCCCTTCACCTGACTTCAAGTTCACTCCTCCCAGGCGGGGAGGTGGAGATGGCGAAAAGGCGACAGGAGAGAAGAGTCTCAAACCAAACGCCCCAAGAAGAAATCCATTTGGGCCATTTCTCCTGCCATAGCGTGGGGGGGGGTCTGACCTCACCCAAGCCGCTTTTCAACAGCAAGCATTTGCTTTTGCTTCGTGAATCATTGAAAATCACCCAGATACATTGCTTCACTCGGGCAGTTGGAAATAGGTGCAGCTTGGCTTTCTTAGCCACCAAATCCTGCATGCCCGATTTTGGCCAATCACTAGCAAACAGCGGAGTTGTCAACGCAGCGACAGAGAAATGACTGTACGCCAGATCAGCTTCTCACATCAGCCGAGCAGTCTGCTATTGTCATGGCAAGAATAAGCCCGAAAAGTACCCCCACTGCTGGCAACAATTGGGTCCTCGGGACGCGTCTAAACCTTTTGTTGTCCTTGTAAGGACCTATAGTCCACAGAACCGTAACATTGCAGGCGTTTCATTCAGCGCGCAAAGCAGTCTGCGGGACTTGTGTTTGCATGAAAGACTTAGCGTTGGATTCATGGAGACATGGCGCACGTGCCTATGTGCATGCAAAAAATCCTTTTGTAGACTGGGAGATATGCAGACCTTGACTTGCATCCTTGAATTTCTGCCTTTCGTGTGGTCCAAGCACCTAAACGTTGGCTGTGCGAAACATCTGTGTATCGGCCAAAGTCCATGGAGCTTGCTGCAAGTCTTGGAACACTGTTGCCTTGAGTAGCAGGATAGGAGAGATTGCTTTATCCACAGCATTGCCAGTGCATCATTTTTTTCATAACAAGCGACATCCGCTTTTTGAGCCTGGGAATTCTTTGAGCTGCAGCTGTTGGCCTGCTTGAAAGTGAGGGAACTGCATGATGGTTTGCCAGCCTTTACGAATGGTTCTTACTCAAAAGCAGCGTTTCGCCTTGAACTCATCTTGCTGGTTCTCAGGGAATGAGTTGGAATTACCATAAACCATCACTTATGCCTAGGGAATCCACTTCCTGTTCATTCCCAACACCAAAAGGTCGTCGGGCTCAAACGTCCGCAAGTCGCGGCGCCGGCCACGCGGAAGCGCAACATGCCTTGCGACGAGGTCTTTCGGCGCGACCTTGACGCTCCCGGCGAGCCCACGAGTCAGAGGACGTCAGAAATGGCGACTGTGGATGGACAAACCCCTGCACCACTTTGAATCCATGGTTGAAACCATTTGTTGTTCGTATTTACGGAGGGAATCATCCTTCCAGGGTTTCTTGGGCGGTGCGAAATGGATTTCGTCCACCCACAGTAGTGGGCAACGGATCTTTAGACTTTAACTTGATTGGTTCAACAATTTGAACGGTGTTTGGGGGGCATGTTCCTTGAAACCCACAAAAAGTTGAACTTTTTGGGGGGATGTTCCTTGAAACCCACAAAAGTGCAGGATTTTTATATATATTTTTTACAAAGGGGGTCGTTGCAGGGACCGACCGCGGAGAGAGTGATATCCAGTTGTTGCCGTTTTCGTTTCGACGCTTGGGTTTCTGCACGCCCCAAGGTTCACCCAGCGAGTGGTGCCCTTTCTCACCCCTTGTTTGGTTGGGAGGGTGAGGGGTACCCCACTAAAATAGACAGAAAAAAGTGGGTAGCCTTATTCTAAGCTCAAACGACTGGAGGACCTAGAAGTGGTTTATAACCTAGGTTGCCAACAACTTACTAGCTTAGCCAAACACCCAAGTAGTCCGTAGCCATGCCCGAGGGGGCTTGGTGCGGGCTTATTTTGTTTGGATCAGACACATGGTACGAAATGGTCCAGTGAACTTTGTGGCCAGGAAAGCGCTTTGTGCGAGTTCCGTTCTACAAACAATACGTATTTGAATTTGAGAAAGTGCGATCAGTGTGGCTCATCGGCTGGATCAGGATGCACACAAAGCAGAAGCTACGTTCCACCACCTGTGTCTGAGGTGCGGTCAGTGGGTTTGCTTTTTGATGGCACCCACAACATGGGGGTGGGATCCGTATGCCCCTTTAAAGCCCACCCCAAGAAGAGAGTCCGCAAAAAAGACACACCCAAGCGAAGAATATGAGAGAAAAAAGTGAAAAACGTTTGCAGGGGAGTCAACAGCAACCAAGTCGTGTCGCGCAAGTGGACGCCATCTTTCGGTCGTCAACCATTCACCATTGCCCGAAACGCCTGTTTTTCAGAGCATGTACTATCTCAGTTGTGGATGTAACTGGAAGCCCCTGCTCAGCATGCACTTGCTGCAGGCCAGGGCAAGTCCATCCTCAGCAGGCAGGAAACACAGTGTTCGATACCTTTACTGACCGTCCTTGCAGTCAGGATGCACGCAAAGCAGAAGCTATGTGCCACCGCCCGAATGGCCTGAGGCGTGGACGGTTGAAATGTAAGTAAAGCGCTCTTCTTGCGGACTCTCATACTATGTCCTGAACCTGTGGCCCATCCGAGCATGGGTTCGCCCGATTTTCGCTTTGTTGGATCATGTATGACCTGCATACGAAGCATAAGCCATGGTCAGTATGCAACTGCCACAGGCCAGAGCAAGTCCATCCTCAGCAGGCGGGAGTCACTGCTTGATGCCGTTGCCGACCGTCCTTGCAGCACTGCAGTCAGGGTGTGCACAAAGCAGAAGCTACGTGCCACCGCCCGAATGGCCTGAGGCACGGACGATTGACACAGAACTAATGCTTGCGTATGATGAGGTGAACCTCAATGACAAACATGGGAGTCATCCACTATGTGTGACTCCGGTCTTGCTTTGTGCCACGCAAGTAATAGCAAGTAAGTGGATGCCTGAACCCTCCGATAGCACGGCTGCATTCCATTCGCTCGAAGTAATTATGCCTGTTCGAAACCTGCATTACATGCGGATGGAAAGGGAGAGCCCCAGATCAGCGTGCAACTGCCGCAGGTCAGGGCAAGTCCATCCTCAGCAGGCAGGAGGCACAGTGTTTGATGCCGCTGACCGTCCTTGCAGCCAGGATATGCGCCAAGCAGAAGCTATGTGCCCCAACCCCAATGGCCTGAGGCACGGTTACACAGAGCTAAAGTTTGTGAGGCCATTTATGTACACGACAAATATTGGAAACATCCACTTTGGTTGACTTTCCTGTCACTTTGCGCCACCCAACTATTAAGATCGTTTAAGTGATACTGTTGCCCCCCCAAATCTGTTTAGCGCAACACCGTTTGATCCTGTTCGCCCGAAGTCTGCTTTGTTAGATGATGTATGACCTGCATATGAAGCATAAGGCCTGGTCAGTATGCAACTGCCACAGGCCAGAGCAAGTCCATCCTCAGCAGGCGGGAGTCACTGCTTGATGCCGTTGCCGACCGTCCTTGCAGCACTGCAGTCAGGGTGTGCACAAAGCAGAAGCTACGTGCCACCGCCCGAATGGCCTGAGGCACGGACGATCGACACAGAAATTATGCTTGTGAGGTGATTGCAGACCCTTATACTATGTACACGACAAGCATTGGAGACATCCACTAGTGATACTGTTGTCCCCCCCAAATCTGTTTAGCGCAACACCGTTTGATCCTGTTCGCCCGAAGTCTGCTTTGTTAGATCATGTATGACCTGCATATGAAGCATAAGGCCTGGTCAGTATGCAACTGCCACAGGCCAGAGCAAGTCCATCCTCAGCAGGCGGGAGTCACTGCTTGATGCCGTTGCCGACCGTCCTTGCAGCACTGCAGTCAGGGTGTGCACAAAGCAGAAGCTACGTGCCACCGCCCGAATGGCCTGAGGCACGGACGATTGACACAGAAATTATGCTTGTGAGGTGATTGCAGACCCTTATACTATGTACACGACAAACATTGGAGACATCCACTTTGGTTGACCTTTCTGCCACACAACTATTAAGATCGTGTATGTGATACTGTTGTCCTCCCCAAATCTGTTTAGCGCAACACCATTTGATCCTGTTCGCCCGAAGTCTGCTTTGTTAGATCATGTGTGACCTGCATATGAAGCATAACGCCTGGTCAGTACGCAACTGCCACAGGCCAGAGCAAGTCCATCCTCAGCAGGCGGGAGTCACAGATTGATGCCGTTGCCGACCGTCCTTGCAGCATTGCAGTCAGGGTGTGCACAAAGCAGAAGCTACGTGCCACCGCCCGAATGGCCTGAGGCACGGAGGATTGACACGGAAACAAAGCTTGTGAGGTCATTCAGCCCGTCATACTATGTACCCGACAAACATTGGGTCACACAACTATTAAAATCGTGTAAGTGATGACTGAACGCACTGGCTCTCCGGTCGTGAACGATACTGTTGCCTGCTTCAAATGTGTTCAGCGCAGCACCATTGTCTGCTTTGTTAGATCATGTATGACCCGCATATGGAACAGAAGCCCTGGTCAGCGCGACTACCACAGGTCAGGGCAAGTCCATCCTCAGCAGGCAGGAAACACAGTGTTTGATACCTTTGCTGACCGTTCTTGCAGTCAGGATGTGCACAAAGCAGAAGCTATGTACCACCGCCCGAATGGCCTGAGGCACGGACGGTTGACACAGAAAAAGAGCTTATGATGAGGTGAAGCCTCATTGCAGAGACCCTCTTGAAGACTTAAATGACTCCACTTGTTTGACTCTCTTTGTTTCGGCAAGCAACCCTCCTGTTTAATCGATTTCGTTGCATTGTTTGCGGTTCGGTTTGCCCAATGCCGTTCCAGAATGCATGACCAGATGTACCCTTCTTCCTGCCCGGATCATACCGCAACAGGTCAGGGCAAGTCCATCCTCAGGCGGGAAAGGCTGTGGTGGATGCCGCTGATCGTTGCAGCGAGGATATGCGCAAAGCAGAAGCTACGTGCCGCCCGAATGGGAGGCAGGAATAGATGTTGATCGAGGTTCAGGCCCCATCAGTGATCTTTCTGCAGACACTCGTAGTATGTAAATGACATGGCAGACATCCTGTTTGACGGAGTCGCTTTGGGCCAGGCAAGTAAAAGCAAGTAGGCGGATGCCTGAACTCTCCGGTTACAAGCCATTTCATTGCCTGACCCGCATGTGGTCAGCACAACATGGCTTCATTCTATTCGCCCGGAGGAATGCAAATGCAAACGACAGCCCTCATCAGCTTAGAACTGCCGCAGGTCAGGGCAAGTCCGTGCTCAGGCGGGGAAAGTAATGTGGCTGTGGCTCAAATCCAATGGTACCATTTTGGGGAAGGTGCACCACCCATTTTAGTCTATTTTAGTAGGGATTGGGATGTTCTCTGGGGGTACGGGATTTTGAGCCATAGCCATGTTTGATGCCTTCGCTGACCATCCTTGCGGGCAGGAGGTACGCAAAGCAGAAGCTATGTGCCCCCACCCCAATGGCCTGAGGCACGGTTGACACGGGGCTTGAAGATTGAGAGGTGAGGATCTCCCTTATTGGTCTTATTCCATGCGTAAAGAGGTATGATAAATCCAACCACCACGAATTGGACCGCGGGTTTCAGTCCTTTCTTTTTACCAAGTTCTATGTTGGGTGCCTATTTTTTTGACCCACTGCCACATGACAGCCTAAGCCAAGCTTGAACCACCGGGGCGCACGTCACGCAGGGCGAAGCACCAATAGGCCAAGAGTTTGTCATGTCTTCAGCCCGTGCCCTGCTGGGCCCGAGATACACAACAAGCATCACCCAATGAAGCCCATCAGTGTGCACCCTTGTTTACTCGGTCCCAGCTGCCCTGTCTCACCCCTTTTTTGGTTGGGAGGGTGAGGGGTACCCCACTAAAATAGACAGAAAACAAGTTGGTAGCCTTATTCGAACCTCAAACGACTGGAGGACCTAGCCCTTTGGCACTAAGCTCCGGTCCCCTGCCACGGAAGCCTCGCATAAGTGTACAGCTGGCAAAGTGGGCACGGCTGCTTCGATGTGCAGCCTCCTCCTGCCGGGGGCATGGGTTAAAACCAAATGGGATCCCATTTTGGGGCAGATGCACCACCACCCATTGTAGCACCTATTTCAGTGAGGATTGGTATGTTCACGCCGGCGCCGCCCGCGCCCGGCGCCAAGCGCAGGTCGGGGGCAGTTTGCCTTCAAGCAGTTTCGTGCCGTGGCCGGAGGCTGGACGCGGGAAGAGATGAGGTCGTGGCATTCTGACCGCACGGTTTTCTTGTTTTCTGCGGCATGCTGCCAAATGAAAGCGCTGCGAAAAGGGCGTGACTCCTCTGTTGGGCATTCGAGAGTGAACCACAAGGAAACCCATGATTGAGGCACATTTTGACACATGGCCAGACCAGATCGGCCGAAACTGTTTCTTGGCTGGCAACCTTCTCGAAGAAAATAGATGGCCCTGGTTGACCTGGTTATGTTATGCGCCTATCAAGGCCATCGATTTTCCCAAGCACCTATGCTCCAAATCGTTGCCATGAATCAAGGTTTCCTGCTGCGCCGGCTAGGCGAAGGCAAGCCCCTCCTCAACAGCAGGCAAGCCGGCTGCGAGTTGAGATCTTTGGTTGGGATGATTGATGGTTCACTGGCCGTTTGGAGAGGACCTGGGGGACCCACATGTCCCACAAAGGTCACCTTTTTCAAAACGAGATGCAGTAGTCTGCGGGTCATGTGGCTGATCAAAAAATAGGTACCTGACATGGAACCCAAACCTGCGGTCCCCTAGCTGTGATTTTGACCCACACCCATGTGACGCCTTGAGTCATGGTGATGATGCCGTTGTGGCTTGAACCCGGTCGGCCTCGCCAGAAAGCCTTGCTTCAACCAGCACATCCTTGACCCAATCCCACGCATCGCCGACGCAGATAGAGAGCTTTGCCGGTGCCCAAGGAACAAACCAACGAGTCTTTGAGAGTCTTTGAGCCAGATGCCTGCTGTAACTTGGAGCTGGTTCCCCCCACTTTTGGCAGACACTTTGCAAGACCATTCTAGACATTTTAGAGGTAGTTCAATACTTGATCAGTCCCATCTTGCCAGTTTAGAAGCCTCATCTCGCCTTCTCTTGGCAGAGCAATAGGTCAAGAAATATTGCTCCAGATTCATCAAGCCGTGATGTTTTTGGTGGACCGAACCCCAAACCCACCCAAACCCAACATGACTCACGGAGCTCGCCTTTGTGAGGTGGCACCCAGCCCCCCGCGCAAAGGCCCGGGGCCTTGGGCGAAGCCTCGAATGCTTCGGGCTCTTTGGGTTTTGTGATGCACCGGAAAAAGACCTTCGAGAGATCTAAGCAAAAAAGAGAAAAACGTATGGTACGAGATGGACATGGATGTGTGATTGGATACACTGTTTTTGTTTGTGGTACAATGGTACTATGTATTCATGTATTTGTTGTTTTATGATTATATTATTATTGTATTTTATTGTTTAAAAAAAATAAAATACGCTGGATATCTAAGCAAAAAACAACCTATGGTACAAGCTAACGGCAAACTGGACTGTGGAAGAGCTGGTCTGAAGCTTCGCGATACACCTGGATATGCGTCAAAGTGAAACCACCAGGGACCGCAGGTTTTAGTCCTTGCTTCCATGTACCAGGCTTCCATTTTGGGGAATGACCTGTTTTGGACCCACACCAAAATCAAGCAACAGATCCCGTCCAGACTGTGGCTTTGCAGTTTTGCCAGGCTCCACGAAGCTCGGAGACGTGCCGGTCTGCCCAGCAGGAAGTCCCAAGGCACGTGTCCCTTGCGTTCCGTGGCAGGCCTCGAGCCCGTCCAAAGAGACGGCGCTGGAAGAGTGGCCTGGCGGCATTCGGCCATCCATTGCCACTCAAAAGAAATTTCCCACCCCTCCCTTGAAGCTTGGACTTGAGGCATGCCGCGCTGCCTGGCAACGAGGCGGGATGTTAGAACCACCATTGAAACCAACTTGGAAGCTGAGAACAATCCTTGGCGATTCGCCAGGTGTGCGCAGACTGCGGCGCGGCCGCGCCTGATTGGCGCGGGGGCAAAGGACATCCGAGGTCCATCTCACGTGGCAAAAATGTTGTTGGCATGTTGTGTTTGTTGTTGTGTTGCTTCAAGGACCGCACCAGAGAAATTGACATGGAACCAGGCCCAGGAAGGAGAGGTCGAGCTCAAAAGTAGCGTCCGTGCCGAGGGCCTCGGTCAACCAGGGCAGCTTGATTTGCATCGACTGTGCCGTGGCCCAAGAGGGCCAACAGCGACTCGAGTTGCGAAAGATAAACTCACCCTTGCTTTATGCAATGTAATGTGAGGTAATGGAAGCTAATGGAAAGGAAGGGAATGTAAAGAGGCTTAAAAAAAGCAGGAATGCAAAGCAAAGGAGGAAGGGATGGATGCAATTCCTTCCCTTTCTTCCTTCCCTTTCTTCCTTCCCTTTCTTCCTTTCCTTTCTTCCTTCCCTTTCCTTTCTTCCTTCCCTTTCCTTTCTTCCTTCCCTTTCCTTTCTTCCTTCCCTTTCCTTTCTTCCTTCCCTTTCCTTTCTTCCTTCCCTTTCCTTTCTTCCTTCCCTTTCCTTTCTTCCTTCCCTTTCCTTTCTTCCTTCCCTTTCCTTTCCTTTCCTTCCCTTCCCTTTCCTTTCTTCCTTCCCTTCTCCCTTTCTTCCTTCCCTTTCTTCCTTCCCCTTTCTTCCTTCCCTTTCGCCCTTTCTTCCTTCCCTTTCTTCCTTCAGGTAGCAATATTTCAAAACGGCAGGACTTAAGAAGCAGGGGCAGTTGGTGTAGTGGTATCACACCCGCTCAGCATGCGGGAGGCCCCGGGCTCAATCCCCGGACTGTCCATGCTCATTCCTGCGCTGTTCTGCTCTGTCACTTCCAGCTGCTCTGCTGCTCCCCTCGTCCACTCTTCTCTCTCTCTCTCTCTCCCCGCCCTCTCTCTCCCCCCCCCCCCCTCTCTCTCTCCCCCCCTCCCCCCCCCCTCCCCCTGACGCTTGGCGTCCATGCGGCGAATGACGTGTTTTGCTTAGTGGTACGTTGCGTGTCCGGCCCAATCGGGCTTCTCGGACGGATCGGACGGACAGATCGGACGGCACGGGCGGCTCGGACGCATCAAGCCGATCGGACAGCTTGGGCGGCTCGGACGGCTCGGTTGGATCGGATGACGTTGACGGCAGCTCGGACGGCTTGGGCGGCTCAGATGCAGCGGGCGGATCGGGCAGCTCGGTTGCGCCGCGCGGACAGCTCGGACGGATCGGACGGCCCCGATGGCTCGCGCGGGTCAGACGGATCGGACATATCGGATTGATTGGGTCGTTGGGGCGGACTCATCGGACGGTTCGGACGGCTCGGATGTCGCGGTCAGATCAGATGCACGGATCGGGCGGATCGGACTGCTCGGACGGATCGGACAGATCGGACAGCTCGGACGGCTCGGACTGATCAGACGGATTGACGCCTCGGACGGATCGGCCTGATTGGACGGAGTGACGGCTCGGACGACTCAGACGGCTTGAACGACTTGTATGATTTTGACGGTCTGCGCAGTTGAAAAGCTTGGAGGGCGCGCACGGCGCGGAGAGCCTGGTCGGTTTGGACGGGCCGCACAGCTCGGACGGATTGGACAGACAGATCGGACGGCTCCGACGGCTCGCGCAGCTCGCACGGTTCGCGCGGCGGGTCGTGCGGATCGCACAGATCGGATTGATGGGGCAGATGAAGGCGGCGCATCCTGGAGAGGCACGCTCGTTGCTCTTCAAGGTGAGGGCAAATGAGCGGGGTTCAGCTGGCTCCCCTAAATGAGCGCCCCGGAGACGCCCGCTTGTCTGCCCTCCCCCGCCGAGGGCAAATGAACGGGGTCCGTTTGTATAGTTTTTGACGTGCCTCGGGCAGAAATCAGCACGTTTAAGAGGCCCTCTTGTAGGGTAAATACGATAAAAACTGAGCAAGCAGACCCCGCTCATTTGCCCTCACCGGTGAGGGCAAATGAGCGGGCCTCTGCGGGGAACTTATTTCTGCCCGAGGCACGGTAAAAACTGAACAAAAAAAACCCGCCCATTTGCCCTCACCATTGACGCCAATGAGCAGGCCTCTCCGAGGTGCTGATTTCTGCCCGTGGCACGGTAAAAAAACAACCCGACAAACAGACCCCGCTCATTTGCCCTCACCGGTGAAGGCAAATAAGCGACCCTCTCCGGGGTGCTGATTTCTGCCCAGGGCGCGAGAAAAATTGAGCAAACAAACCCCGCTCATTTGCCCTCACCGGTGAGGGCAAATGAGCGGGCCTCTCCGGCGTGCTGATTTTCTGCCCGTGGCACAGTAAAAACTGACCAGACAGACCCCGCTCATTCGCCCTCGGCATTGAGGGCAAATGAGCGGCCCTCTCCGGAGAGCTGATTTCTGAGGCAAAACTAAAAAAACGCACCCCGCGAATTTGCCCTTATCATTGACGCAAATGAGCGGGCCTTTCCGAGTTGCTGATTTCTGCCCGTGGCACGGTAAAAAGACTCGACGAACGAACCCCGCTCATTTGCCCTCACCGGTGACATGAGCGGCCTCTCCAGCGTCCTGATTTCACGATAAAAACTTAATAAACCTCAACGGTGAGGGCAAATGAGCGCGCCTCTCCAGAGAGCTGATTTTTGCCCGAGGCAAAGTAAAAACTCAACAAACGCACCCCACTCATCTGCCCTCATCATTGACAGCATTTCTGCCCGTCTCCAGCGTGCTGATTTCGGCCCGAGGCACGATAAAAACTCAACAAACAGACCCCGCTCATTTGCCCTCGCCATTGAGGAACGGATGAGCTCCTAGCGCAGATCCCCAGGACCAGCCGGGAGGCCTTTGGGACAGAGGCTCCAAGCTGTCTGACCAGTCTGTCCGGGGCGTCCAAGCTGTCCGATCAGCCTGAGCTGCGCGCGCTGTCCGACCAGTCCGCGCCGTCCACACTGTCCGTCCGTCCGAGGCGTCCAAACCCAAGCTCCGAGCAGTCCGTCCGCACCGACCCGTCCGCGCTGTCCGACCAGTCCGATCCGTCCGCGCCGTCCGCGGTCCGAGACGTCCGAGCCCAAGCTCCGAGCAGTCCGTCCACACCGGCCGACCCGTCCGTGCTGTCCGACCAGTCCGATCTGTCCGAGCTGTCCCGACCCGTCCGCACACCGAACGATCCGGCCGTCCAAGACGTCCGATCAGTGCCGAGCTGTCCGAGCCTGTCTGCGCAGTCCATCCGAGGCGTCCGAAGCTCCTTTCAAAAGTCAATCCTTAGACGCTCACACAAAGTCCGACGAGGCGTCCGAGTTTGCGCTGTCCGACCAGTCCGTGCTAAACGGGCCGTCTGCCCGGTCCGTCCAGTCCGATCTGTCCGAGCTGTCCGACCAGTCCGATCTGTCCGTCTGTCTGAGCGGGCCTCTCTGGCGTGCTGATTTCTGCCCGAGGCACGGCAAAAAGAGAACAAATAGACCCCGCCTTCAATGGTGAAAGCAAATGAGCGGGCCTGTCCAGCGTGCTGATTTCTGCCCGAGACACGGTAAAAACTCGACAAACGGACCCCCTCCGCGGCGAGGGTAAATGAGCGGAACTCTTCGAGGTGCTGATTTCTGCCTGAGGCACGTGAAAAAACTAAACAAACGGACCCCGTTCATTTGCCGTCACCGGTGCGAGCAAATGAGGGGGCCTCTCCAAGGTGCTGATTTCTGCCCGGGGCACGATAAAAACTGAGCGAACGGACCCCGCTCATTTGCCCTCCCCGGTGAGGGCAAATGAGCAGGCCTCTCCAGCGTGCTGATTTCTGCCCGAGGCACGGTAAGAACTCAACACAGGGGTTTACCCTCACCAATAAAAGCACATGAGCGGGCCTCTCACCGGTGAGGGCACAGGAGCGGGGTGCGTGTGCAGTTTTTACCGCGCCTTGGGCAGAAATCAGCTCTCCGGAGAGGGCCGCTCACTTGCCCTCAATGGCGAGGGCAAATGAGCGGGGTCCGTTTGGTCAGCTTTTACTGTGCCACGGGCAGAAAATCAGCGCGCCGAAGAGGCCCGCTCATTGGCCTTCACCGGTGAGGGCAAATGAGCGGGGTCTGTTCATTAAGTGTATATCGTGAAATCAGGATGCTGGAGAGGCCGCTCATGTGCTGTTACCGGTGAGGGCAAATGAGCGGGGTCCGTTTGGTCAGCTTTTACTGTGCCACGGGCAGAAAATCAGCACGCCGGAGAGGCCCGCTCATTTGCCCTCATATGAGCGGGGTCTGCTTGCTCAGTTTTTATCGTGCCCTGGGCAGAAATCAGCACCCCGAGAGGCCCGCTTATTTGCCGTCACCGGTGAGGGCAAATGAGCGGGGTCTGTTTGTCGGGTTGTTTTTTTACCGTGCCACGGGCAGAAATCAGCACCTCGGAGAGGCCCGCTCATTTGCGTCAATGATAAGGGCAAATGAGCGGGGTGCGTTTTTTTCAGTTTTGCCTCAGAACTCAGCTCTCCGGAGAGGGCCGCTCATTTGCCCTCAATGGTGGGGGCAAATGAGCGGGGTCTGTTTGGTCAGCTTTTACTGTGCCACGGGCACTCATGTGCTGTCACCGGTGAGGGCAAATGAGCGGGGTCCGTTTGTCGAGTTTTTTACCGTGCCACGGGCAGAAATCAGCACCTCGGAGAGGCCCGCTCATTTGCGTCAATGATAAGGGCAAATGAGCGGGGTCCGTTTTTTTGTTTCAGTTTTGCCGCAGAAATCAGCTCTCCGGAGAGGGCCGCTCATTTGCCCTCAATGGCGAGGGCAAATGAGCGGGGTCTGTTTGGTCAGCTTTTACTGTGCCACGGGCAGAAAATCAGCACGCCGGAGAGGCCCGCTCATTTGCCCTCACCGGTGAAGGCAAATGAGCGGGGTTTGTTTGCTCAGTTTTTCTCGCGCCCTTGGCAGAAATCAGCACTCGCGTATTTGCCTTCACCGGTGAGGGCAAATGAGCGGGGTCTGTTTGTTGAGTTTTTTTCCGTGCCACGGGCAGAAATCAGCACCTCGGAGAGGCCCGCTCATTTGCGTCAATGGTGAGGGCAAATGGGCGGGGTCCCTTTGTTCAGTTTTTACCGTGCCTCGGGCAGAAATAAGTTCCCCGAGGCCCGCTCATTTACTTTCACCGGTGAGGGCAAATGAGCGGGGTGCGTTCGTGCAGTTTTTACCGCGCCTCGGGCAGAAAGCAGCTCTCCGGAGAGGGCCGCTCACTTGCCCTCAATGGCGAGGGCAAATGAGCGGGGTCCGTTTGGTTAGCTTTTACTGTGCCACGGGCAGAAAATCAGCACGCCGGAGAGGCCCGCTCATTGCCTCCCACCGCTGAGCAAATGAGCGGGGTCTGTTCATTAAGTTTATATCGTGAAATCAGGACGCTGGAGAGGCCGCTCATGTGCTGTCACCGGTGAGGGCAAATGAGCGGGGTCCGTTTGTTGAGTTTGTCACCGTGCCACGGGCAGAAATCAGCACCTCGGAGAGGCCCGCGCATTTGCGTGAATGATGGGGGCAAACGAGCGGGGTGCGCTTTTTTTCAGTTTTGCCTCAGAAATCAGCTCTCCGGAGACGGCCGCTCATTTCCTCTCAATGGCGAGGGCAAATGAGCGGGATCCGTTTGGTCAGCTTTTACTGTGCCACGGGCAGAAAATCAGCACGCCGGAGAGGCCCGCTCATTTGCCCTCATATGTGAGGGCAAATGAGCGGGGTTTGTTTGCTCAGTTTTTCTCGTGCCCTGGGCAGAAATCAGCACCCCGGAGAGGCCCGCTTATTTGCCGTCACCGGTGAGGGCAAATGAGCGGGGTCAGTTTTTTTTTACCGTGCCACGGGCAGAAATCAGCACCTCGGAGAGGCCTGCTCATTTGCGTCAATGGTGAGGGCAAATGAGCGGGGTGCGTGTTCTCAGTTTTTAGTTTTGACTGTGCCTCGCAAATCAGCTCTCCGGAGAGGGCCGCTCATTTGCCCTCAATGGTTCCCAGCAGAGGCCCGCTCATTTACCCTCACCGGTGAGGGCAAATGAGCGGGGTCCGTTTGTTGAGATTTTTTTAACCGTACCACGGGCAGAAATCAGCACCTCGGAGAGGCCCGCTCATTTGCGTCAATGATGAGGGCAAATGAGCGGGGTGCGTTTTTTCAGTTTTGACTGTGCCTCAGAAATCAGTTTTTCGGAGAGGGCTGCTCATTTGCTTCAATGGTTCCCCGCAGGGTCCGCTTATTTGTTTTCACCAGTGAGGGCGAATGAGCGGGGTCCGTTTGTTCAGTTTTTACCGTGCCTCGGGCAAAAATAAGTTCCCCGAGGCCCGCTCATTTACCCTCACCGGTGAGGGCAAATGAGCGGGGTGCGTTGGAACCATTGAGGGCAAATGAGCGGCCCTCTTCGTTTGAGCTGATTTCCGAGGCACGGTCAAAACTGAACACACGCACCCCGCTCATTTGCCCTCACCATTGGCGCAAATGAGCGGGCCGCTCCGAGGTGCTGATTTCTGCCCGTGGCACGGTAAAAAAAAATCAACAAACAGACCCCGCTCATTTGCCCTCACCGGTGACGGCAAATAAGCGGGCCTTTCCGCCCAGGGCACGATAAAAACTGAGCAAACAGAACCCGCTCATTTGCCCTCACCGGTGAGGGCAAATGAGCGGGCCTCTCCGGCGCATAGTAAAAGCTGACCAAACAGACCCCGCTCATTTGCCCTCGCCATTGAGGGGAAATGAGCGGCCATCTCCGGAGAGCTGATTTCTGAGGCAATGGCACGGTAAAAAAAAACTCAACAAACAGACCCCGCTCATTTGCCCTCGCCTTTGAGGGGAAATGAGCGGCCATCTCCGGAGAGCTGATTTCTGAGGCAAAACTGAAAAAAAAACGCACCCCGCTCATTTGCCCTCATCATTCACGCAAATGCGCGGGCCTCTCCGAGGTGCCATTGAGGGGAAATGAGCGGCCATCTCCGGAGAGCTGATTTCGGAGAGCTGATTTCTGAGGCAAAACTGAAAAACACACGCACCCCGCTCATTTGCCCTCACCATTGACGCAAATGAGCGGGCCGCTCCGAGGTGCTGATTTCTGCCCGTGGCACGGTAAAAAAACTCAACAAACAGACCTCGCTCATTTGCCCTCACCGGTGACGGCAAATTAGCGGGCCGCTCCGGGGTGCTGATTTCTGCCCAGGGCACGATAAAAACTGAGCAAACAGACCCCGCTCATTTGCCCTCACATATGAGGGCAAATGAGCGGGCCTCTCCGGCGTGCTACTTGGCTGCCCGTGGCACAGTAAAAGCTGACCAAACAGTCCCCGCTCATTTGCCCTCGCCATTGAGGGGAAATGAGCGGCCATCTCCGGAGAGCTGATTTCTGAGGCAAAACTGACAAAAAAGCACACCGCTCACTTGCCCATCATTCACGCAAATGCGCGGGCCTCTCCGAGGTGCTGATTTCTGCCCGTGGCACGGTGAAAAACTCAACAAACGGACCCCGCTCATTTGCCCTCACCGGTGACAGCACATGAGCGGCCTCTCCAGCGTCCTGATTTCACGATATGCGTCAGTTTCGGACGGCTCCTCGGACACGGACGCCTCGGGTCGGAAAGCTCGGACGGATCGGACTGGTCGGACAGCTCAGACTCGGGGTCAGATTCGGACGGCTGGGACACGGACGCCTCGGGTCGGACAGCTCGGACTGGTCAGACTCGGGGTCAGATTCGGACGACTCGGACACGGACGCCTCGGGTCGGACAGCTCGGACTGGTCGGACAGCTCGGACTGACGTCTCGGACAGACGGCTCGGACTCGGGTCGGACGGCTCGGACACGGACTCCGACAGCTCGGGACGGATCAGACTGGTCGGACCCTGTTCAGTTTGGATGGTTTGGACGGACCTTGGAAAACCTTGAGTGTCTATTCGGCGAGCAAGGCCCCACCTTGCAAAACCTTGAGCGTCTATTTGGCGAGCTTCCCTTTCTAAGGATTGACTTTTGAAAGGAGCCTCCTTTTCCAAATAGACCTCAAGTGTCCATCTTACCCTCTCCCCCCCCCCCCTCTCTCTCCCCTCCCCCCCTCTCCCTCTCCCCCTCTCATCCTCTCCCCCTCTCTCCCTCTCTTCCCCTCTCCCTCTCTCCCCCTCTCCCTCTCTCCCTCTCTCCCTCTCTCCCCCTCTCCCCCTCTCCCCCTCTCCCTCTCTCCCTCTCTCCCTCTCTCCCTCTCTCCCTCTCTCCCTCTCTCCCTCTCTCCCTCTCTCCCTCTCTCCCTCTCTCCCTCTCTCCCTCTCTCCCTCTCTCCCTCTCTCCCCCCCCCCGTTAAAATGGGACTGTTCTTTTACTACAAGTGCAAGTGCTGTAAGTTGTTAACACAAACAAACCTGTAGTCTGCACAGCTCCTATTTTGCATGGGCTCTGGCATCATGTAGTTGAAGCTCAAGGCCTGCGGTCACGTAGTACAACACCGCATGCACCTTCACAGGGTCCCTCAGCCAAACATAGTATCTTTTCAACTGAAGTGGAAATGTCAGTATTGACAGTATTGATGAAAACAGATGTTGTTCATCCATGCTACAGCAGTGAAAAGAAAAGAGGCATAGTCCTCAGTAGCTCTCGCTGTTCAGGATTCAGTCTCCGACTGAACGGAGTTCTGTAGTCTTGAGTGGCTCTCGCTGTTCAGGATTCAGTTCCTGATGTAGTCGGACTGAACGGAGTTCGTGAGGGGGCTGCATCGTGTAGCACGCTCAGCCGTGCTGTTGTTGTGGTGTAGGCTGTAGAGGCGTAGTAGTTGTTGGGTGTTGACCAGTACCAGGGTGTGGTGCAGGGTGAAATGAGTTGTGCACCTTGCTAGTAGTTGAGGCGTAGGTTGTAGTTGCTCATGATGGAGGTGGAGTGATTGATGTAGTCCCTGATGAAGTAGTCGTTGAGTAGTTGCTGGATGTAGCCGGTGGGTAGTGCAATGGTGACAAGGATGTAGTCGTTGATGTGGTTTGTCGCGGTGTGTAGTTCTGTCAAGCCGTAGTAGTGCCACAGATGAGCATCTGCAGCAGACTGCGTCGTGTGGTCTCTGTAAAGTGACGCGCAAGTTAGTCCTGCTGGTATAGAAAAAGGCACCCCCAAGGACTGAGCCAACAGAAAAACTTGTTGGTGCTCAGCAGAAACTGAAGGAGCCAGCAGAATAACCCTTCTACACCATCCCTTGTGGCTTCCTTTCAGGGAATCCCTGGGTTCATTCCAACATTCCCTCCTGAGCGGGTTTCATTCGTGTTCCCTCAGGCTGGCACTCATCGTTCTTTGGGAGCGCACGTCTCCAAAGTCAAGTCAGTGAGGCCTGGATCAGTGCCGCAAATTCCATGCTGACAGCTGGATTCAAAGGGAACCAACTAAGTAACTCCACCAGAGGCATCCCGATGTAAGGAGCTGCGCATAACTGGTCTCGCTGCCACGCCAAGCTCCCCCGAAAATAGTCAAGGCGCCTAGTGTGGGAAAATGGAAAGCCGGTATCATATCTGCACCATCGCGGCAAGGGCCCCAATGTCAAGAATAGCATTAGCTCCCTGGCCTGGGCCTCATTGGCGGCTAGGCTTGATCGGTGGAAGCCAGACGAAGTCGCCAGCTTCATTGCCAAAGGCGGCAATCGGGAGGCGTGCGGGGTGTCAGGGGCAGGTAAATTGGTTGTGCAGTTTCAGATGGGATCTCTTTTTGCTTGGCATCATCTCCAGACTCTTGTTTTGTCTCCCGGGCAATAGTCGTCCTTGGATCGGCATACTAGTAGCTCAGCATTCCTGGCGCTGATTCGTTCAGAGGAGGACGCAGTGTAGCTCCAACGTGACCCAGAGACACTACTTATGACACTTACTTGCGCTCGCAACCTATGATGTTTTCAGCCGAGAAGTCAAATTGCGGCCGTGTTGGCTGTTTTAGTTAGGAGTTCTAGTCTTGGTTTCTCAGGGCTTCTTTCGAGCGGGCACCCGGATAAAGTGTTCACCAGGTTGTCAATCACGAGTGATCATACGAGTGCGTCCCACTGCACGAGATGTGCACAGTGCGACACAATGGAATCAAGCAACGGACGAAGAAATCTGTACCTTCCTGGCCAGCTGTCAACAGCTTGAGACTGTAGCTGATCCTTTCGGCGTTTGAGTTGGGTCCGCAGCTCCATTTGAGGCGCTACAGCTTTTCTTTGGGGCCAGTCCTAGTTGAATGGGCCAGCGAGCTTGCAGCTGAACTGGCTGTGGTGGAGTTGGATTGACCAAAGCTTGCTCACAGCATGCCACAGCTCTTGGTTTCAGAAGAGCTGGCATTCCAGTGAGGCTCGGATGCCTGTTGTCTCGACCGGGTGGGGAAGGTCGGCATTTTTGGCATCCGAGTGAGCTACGGATCTTTGGCTCTCAGGTGAATCGAAGGCTTCGGCTGGCTGGAGCGCCACCACCCCCGGCGAGGCGAGGAAAAAACCCTGGGCTTTTGGGGGCGCAAGCTCATTCACAACGCTAGGCCCGCCAGTAATGAGTGCTCTTCTACCCTTTCTTTTTTGGGGGAGGGTTCCCCTGCTAAAATCGACGACAGAAGTACCCTTATTCGAACCTCTCAAATCTGGAGGACCTAGAACGGCAAAAACCACCAATCCCAGCGGGTCGGAAGAGGGTCTGGCCTTTTTTGGAGGACCACTAAAATGGTCCCAGATTTTTCTGGCACGGACCGCTGCTGTTCTTTCGTTGGGTTGTTCAAAATGGCCTAATCCTAATCCGTAACCCGTAGTGGGAAGCCACTACAACAAGAGAAACTAGTACCAACGAGCGCAAGGAAGGATTGATTTTGGAGCAGGGCACCCATACCTCACTTTCCGCCCCGCCCCCCCCCCCCCCCGCCACCCCCCCCCGAAATTGCCCAGCAGGGCTTATTCCTGGCCTTTACAAACAACACCAGAGCCAGGTTGTCGTCCTTTTGATTTACCGATGGGGCAACCCATGTTCTTGATTGCTATTGAGTTGGATCTTGAGACTCTCTTTGGAAAATCAACGGTTTTCCATTGACCCCACAAAGAAAGGTTAAACTTTGTGCAGGGGGGTCAACAGCAACCAAGTGTTAAATTTCGGGGATTCCGGGGGTGAGGATCCTGGTTTCAGCCCGGGCGAGAGCTGTGCTGGCAGGTCTGCCCGCCCGCAGCTGGAAGCCCACATCCGCCAGAAGCCCCGAGCTCAGGGTGTGTCTTCTTTTGGAGATGGCCGCCTTTTTTTGCGGGTTTAAAAAGGAACCAAGGGAGATTACCATCTGAAGATTGCCGCCTTTTTTTCAAAGGGGAACCAATGGGAGATGACTCCATCTGGAGATTGCCGCCTTTTTTCATGGTTTTTGAAGGGGGAATGGGAGATGACCCTCACTTTGGGCGTATTCCAACAAAAAGGAGAACACACCCTGGCGTCTGGTGGAGGTCATCGTAGTGAGTCCCAACTCCGTAGGTGTCGTCATTGGACATGTGTCGTCCTTGAGGTACCAAGAAGCATTCATCGCCGCGGAGAGGCCAAGGTAGCCTGGCATGTGGACCATCTCGGATTGTTGTGACCCAAACCGAGGGAAGTCCATTCTGATTGAAGAAGTGCTTTGTGTCAAAACCCGGGTAGATGAAGGTTAGTAAGGATGATACCAGCCAGAACTAGTTGCGGCCGGCTTCTTAATTCTTTACATGGTTCTGGGATTACGACCATTTTTAATAGGTTTTGAGCAAGTGACTCACGGTGCAAAACATGCCGGAACCTTTCTTGGGATACAAGATTTCGAGTGCCGGTTTGTGCCTGTGCCTCAGGCAACCGAGCGACAGCATGCACACGAAGGTCACTGGAACAGCTGAAGGCCAAAGCGGGTTGACCAGGCTTCACGTTTTGGAGCGCAAGGTAGACTTCAACTTAGGAGTTGGCTTCCTGAAGGAAAAGCCGCGGGTTTTGGTTCAGCTTCGGACTCAAAACCGGTGGAGCCCGGTGTTGCCAGCTTTTGCGCATCGATGTTGAATTCCCATCAATCCACTCGCAGGCTCTTCCAGTTTCCTGGTGCGCGATGCCAAGGGCGTGGAGGTCACGGCGAAGCCCTCAAAAGGTTCAAAATACTTGCCACCCTCTAGATCCTGTCCAAAAGTAGAGGTACCCCTGGACTCACAACTGGGTGTGAAACTCTCTTTGGAGTCGAACCTTCCAAAAATTGCGGCTTTTCCTTTTAGAGACACAAGAAATAGGTACAATAAACAGCTGACCTGTCCTCCAGTCACATGGTGGGGTGCCCCATTTTCATCCCCGGGTCGAATTCAGCGTTGTGAGAATTACCCAGTTGCTTAGTGGCACCCCGTGGCATGCTTGTTCCAGTCAGTTCCAAATGCAAAGCCACGCAACCAGCACGCACAACACCAATAGAGAGCAAGTAAGCACTTTCCCAGACGCTCACGTGGAGACCCAAAAGAAAAGGGGCTTTCGCAGAAGATTCCTCTACACAATCGATGCAAGGCTGTATGTCAAGCCTTGTCAAGCTAGGGGTCCGTGAAAGGAACGCTTTGATCCAAAGATTTGCAGGCTGCAGGGGTCACTGGTTTTGTCACATACCCAAAAGAGTGGTCATAGGCGGCCTGTTTTTGAGGGTACCATGTACCATCCCAAATGGGCACTTCTGGATTCCCTAAAATGATGGTTTACCCACTGGCAAAGAAATACTTTTCCGGAAGACCAACCCAGATTTGATGGGCATGGTGCGTTCTTGCGTGTTTTTTGTTCCCCCGGAGGCCGAGGTGCTGGCTCGACCTTCGATGCCGCGGGATGCCCGGAACCTCAGTAAACCAGACCTGGCTTTGTTGCATAGCTTGGATACTCCCGTTTTCCCTTGGCTTTGTCTAGAGGCGGGCGGTACACGCCGAGAGGGGCCAACGGAAAGAGCGCCCAAGGCAGTCTTTGGGTTGTGAATGGGAACTCTGTGGCCAACAAGTGACCGGCTTGATGGGGGCATGGATGCTTCCTTCAGCTTCCGGTCCAAAAAATAATAGACACATCTATTTTTTGTCGGGAAGTGAGCTGAGCTGTGGTCCAGATAGGCCGTATCCATGGATAGGCTTACTTGAGGTTCATGAGATGTTGCTTTATCCACATAGAAAAAGATTGCCATTTGTTCGGATTTCTAGCGCCTTGAGCTCCATATCACATGTTGCACGCATCGATATGTGTAAATCCTGGAAGTCTGAGCCCAAAATGACGATTGGTTGTTGGCTTGTTTTGTTTGTTTGTCTGTTTTGTTTTGTTTTGTTTGTTTTGTTTTGTTTGTTTGTTAGGTTGTTTGGTTGTGTCGCTGTCCCAGTGGTTCGCACAAGTTGCTCGCTTTGTGCCCAGTTGAGTTGCCACATGGGCACGACTTGCCATCAAGGCCGGGTTCGTGGTGTAAGGTGCGGAAAGGTGACATGGGTGTGGGTCAAAATTACATCACCAATTGGACCGCAGATGATTGGGAACCAAATTGCAATCATGGCCAGGTCTAGGTATGGGTCAAATTGTTCAACCACCAATTGGACCGCAGCTTTAAATGTCCATGTTTCCATTTACCAGCTGGGGCCAGCCATTTTGGGGTTACCCAACTCTTTTTGACCACCACTGCCAAATCCCGGCTCAAGAAGCGAAGCTGCAGATGAGCAGCAACGGTGTGAGCCTTCAAAAGCTTTTGGCGTTGCAAATAGATCAACGAGGGTAGAACCCACAGCCGTGGATTAGGGCAGACAGAGACATTGTCAATACACCTGGAAAGCGTGTTGACAGTTGCCTTGTCACATCCCACAATGAGCAACAGAGGATACGGGGCATTGGGGTCCAAAGGTGTATCGGGAAAGCTGTCAAAGAGCTTCAGAGGTGACGAACTACGGCAATGACTGCTGAGTGCGCTTTGTCCAGATGTGTGTTGGCCTGTAGTTTTAGTCGTTGATGTTGTTACATATTGTCATTTGTGTTCCTGTTCAAAGCGGTTTTTTTTGCGGCCCATTCCACCAAAGCCAGTTGGACCCGATCCAGGCTGTCTTGAGATGCCAGGACTAGTGATCGTCGATGTTGCCAGCGTGGATATCGGCGCCGGGACTGCCAGACCAGAGCCGAGCGGTTGAATCCTTGCATCTGCCGGCAAATTTTGCGGGCGTCCAATTTTCCGTGCTCTGAGCATGATGACTTACCGAGTGTGGCTTTGGGATCCATGTGGAGGTCTGGGAAGCTAGAGCTGTCCTTCAGGTGAGAAGGCAAAATCCACACCATGAGACCAGTCTTTGTGACTTGTGACACCGGCAGAGGTGGAGAGAGCCCAAGATCTGCGGATGCTCGGGCTGGGCGCTTGGACACTCGACTCGTTCGCACGCCTCGAGCCTCGAGTCTCGGGTCTCGTGCGCGTCTCGAGGCCATTGTTCCTCTCCTTGTCGGTATCTCTCAGCTTGGGGTCTGGTGCTCGGCTCTGAGGTCGTAGATGCGGAGATATAGCTTCGGCTCTGCGGGTTCTATCGGGGATTGAGACGAATTGAATGGCACAGGGGTGGGGAGCAGAAGCGCACCAAGGAAGCCGGTTCTCGTTCAAGGGCCGACCGAAATCCCTTGGACGCAAGCCAAGGCCATTGACGGAGCGAACAAGCGCGCGGCGAGGTTCGCAAAAGGTCAGCGCAGGCCCCAGATAGAGGTTTGGCCCGCTGAAATGGGGGATGGGGGGCACCTCCTTGGTGGCTAGCTTGGTAGGGTTGTGTATGGGCTTCCATGAACAACCCTCCAAAAGCTAAGCTTTTCGCAGAGGATCTGAGGGGCAGCTTGGTTTGATTTCGCGCCGCGCTTGGTGTCCGAGGTTGGGATCCTCCACAGAGGAAGGAGTTGCTCTGGGATGCGGAGGCGGATCGGATCAAAGAGCACAGTTGAGGGCATGGACAGGATGTCTCCAGAGAAAAGAGCGGTCCTCCCTGCGAGACCGTCCCAGCGCCCAAGGGTTCGCGCATCAAAAAGAATGCGCGTTTAAGCCTCTTATCAACACTCGCTCGAGGAAAAGACGCATTGTCCCAGCACTCGTTCCAAGTGTGTGCGCGCCAATGAGCCGCGGATTGATCGCACCAGGAGCGGTGGTTGTGGTGTCATGTCTACGATGGCGGAGACTTCACGGGCTACGCGCAATTGGCGGGTGAAGGCTCCAGGGGCAAGATTTTCTCTCACCCCCTGCTCCCAGTTGCCTAGTGGTGCCCTTGTTTCCTTCATTTGGGGAAGGATTCCCTTCAAGCTCAACCAACCAAAAAAGCCATGCCCTGTTTGTCCCCTGGCCACTGGGCATCTGAGTTCCGGATGTGTTTGATGAATCTCCCCCTAGGACAGCCTTATTGGGATGCTCCAAGCCAAACCGGATGCCTTTACCATGCTTTGTGTTTGTTGGGCATCTTCGGAGTCGGTTTGTCAACAGACCTGTCAGAGAAATCGATGAACCCTTTGGGTGTCGTGGGGTTGTGTTCCAAAACATGGCGGAGGCGGAGGGCAACCACACTTCCAAAAGGAGCCCCAACTTCACTCTGTGAATAGGACAGTGAAACTATGTGGGTTCCACTTGATTGATTACCCCAAGGTAGACTTTACACCATGGGGGTTGCTGGGTTCAAGTCTACCTGGGGTTCAAAAAGTGGAAACCTGTATGTTAGACGGGGAGAGCCATGAAGGATCACTGTCAGAGGCCTGAGCCGGGCGTAGGGCAAGGCGGGAAGGGACGAGGTTCACAGGCCAAGCATTGGTACATCAGCTGCATTCACTGCCAGGCCGCATCGATTTGCTTAAGCTTTTGGAAGGACGTGCACCTGAGAGCGAGAGAGAGAGAGAGAGAGGCAGCTGTTTGAAAGGTAGATTTGCTGCGGTTGCGAAAACGTGATTCTGCCAGTCGACGCAGTGCCCGAAAAGTGCAGGAACACATGAGCTTCAGAAGGAACCCTGAAAGATGAGGAACTCACTCCAGTGGATGCCATAAATATTGCAAGTACGCCAACCACAAACCATGGGAATTTAGAGGGGGGCATCCACCGTCTCTTCCGCAAAAGACCTTTTGGTGTTGGCAGTTTCTCTTCAGGCGTACCTGTACCGCAAGATGCGAAGAGACTTCCTTAGGGCAGCTTCCAAATATAGGTCTTTTCTTTGGCATGTCATCTTGACCCACCTTTTCAGAGGTTCGAAACAAAGTCCAAGATGTTCTCAGTTGTCCAAAGCCGACCTTTTGACCTTTTGGTTTTCCCATTTTGGTCCATTTTTAGTAGAGGTGCACAAAGGTGATCACCTTTTAGTTCTGGGTCCTTTGGGCAACTGAGTGTTTAATCTAGGTTGAAACGTCTCCATTCCCCCACGAGGCGTCGTTGACTTTTTAAAAAGCAGGGTTCCACTGTTTGACTACAGACTGAATCCGAGAAGTTCCCCCAAAAAGCGGAGAATGAACCACTGGGTGTACGTCTACCAAGGTCAAAAAGTGGAATTATGATTGTCAACCAGGACCTGAGTGTGTTTTTCTTACACCCCCAAAGACAATAAATAAAATAACAAGGTCGGTTGTCCTTTTGGTTTCCCTTCAAAACACGCCCAAAAGGGATACCACCAAAAAAGAAACGACGAGCCACCCAGCTCTCGCCTCTTTCCAAGGGATGGCGACCGAGACCCTTGCAACTCGAGGACGTGGGTCCGCGCTGGGCGCAGCGCAGAGTCTGGAGGTGGAGCTCTTTGCCGAGGCACCGCTCGCGCGCTCGCGCGCTCGTCGGGTGGGGTGAAGCGAGAAAGCGAGAAAGGGGCGCTGGGGGTGCACCGTTTTGAAGTTTTTTGGTCACCAGTCTCCATTTGTTTTCCTGAGGTTTTGAGGGTTTGAGAGTCTGGGAGTTACCGTTGTGGACGGGGAGACGAGGGAATGGGATCTCTTTGCCTTCGTTATGTCTCGCTGTTCTTGGAGGGAAGCACCTCCTCAGTTCCCGGGCTTTGAACTTTTTGGGAAGACCAGTTTAGTTGTAAACAGCGAGTTTGGACTTGTTTCGGCCCATCCCTTCAGGAGGTGAGGTTCGGGAAGCATAGAATGATGCTGGGAACCGCTACTCTAAGCTCGGGAATTTCAATGCGGAGATAGGTTTGTCTTCTTGTAGGGGTTTTCCTCCAAAATGAGCCCAGGGGTGTGAAGAAGCCATCCACTTCTCAGGTTGGACCATTGCACCCCTTGCACCAAGCAGAGCATGAGTAACATTTACCGCAGGACAAGTTCAATGCCAAAAGGGGCAACAGCCTGACTCCGATTCTTATTTGGTTTCTGTTAGACTCATTCTTTGTCGCTGTGACAAGCAGATCAGAATCATGCTAGACCAAAGAAGTGGTACACTTCCTCTGAATTTCTTCGAATTGCTTTCTTGGCACTACTTTTGGGGATAACCTCATGAGGCAAAACTGAGCCGGCTCGATCCAGCTGACTTGGCGCCCCAAGCCTCATGGGGGTTGCCTTGGTCAATAGTTCCGGTTTGTACTGGCCAGATGCGTTCGGAAAGCAGGCATGCAGCTTACAAGTTAAATGGCGAGTGAGCTTTTTGCGCCCGCATGGTCTTCTTGTTTTCCCGGGGCAGCCGTGCAGGATGCCCAAAGTGGATCTGACTCAGAGGCGCAGCTTTCGTGATGCTTCTGGCTTTGTCTGGGTTTTGGGCTCACCTCAGGCCAGCCCGACCGGACACAAGGACACAGCTGCTGACTGCGTGTGGCAATTCTGTTCGGCAGATCATGCAAAGGCCACCATTGGCCTAAGCCAAGAGTCAGTGGTGAAGACAGAGCTTTTGATTGCAAGGTTCAAGCAGAATGCCATTGGATGAGCGCCGCGATTTGTGCTTTGAGGACAAGGACCCTGAGAGTGGTGGCTTCATTGGAACTGCACAGCTCCAGGCAGACTTGTACTTCTTCGCATCCATTGGGTGAAGGATTGGGGGCCATCATTTTTGTCTACAGACATTTGGGGCTTCATGGATACTCCCGGCAAGGCCCCAAAACGCGAAAATGACCATGGGGAACTTTCCCCATGTGGTGCAAGTCATCTTTTTTGGTGGGTTCCCTGGTGATCCTTTGATGTAAAGGACCTGTTGATCAACCCCGATTTATTGTTTAGACATGTTTGAACCATTGTTGAAACCTCTTTTTGGTCTCACTTTAAATGGAGCGGTTGTTTAAACTTAAACCATGTTTTCCCAACCTTTCTGCTGGCCGGCGATATTGAATCGCTTTGTTTCATGCGGCAATTCTGCGGCGTGAGTTTGTGGAGGTCACCATTATCGACATGACGGGCATGCTGTCCTCACAACAGCGGAAGCCGATTACGCCTTTTGCCTGGAGAGGTTAGTTTGTGTTGTGTTTTGCTTGCAGGACTGACAGCGATTTGTACGGGAATCCTTCTGATCCCATATGGGTAGGTTCAGCGCCTCAACATGGCTCCTGACAAAAACCCGGTCCCTAGAGGAAAATGATCCTCCAGGTACCCCCCCACAGGTGCGGAGAATATCTATTTCGGTGCCTGTTGTGCCTGTTCCTTTCGCCCAGGTCTGCATCGCCAAGCGGCTCTGAGTAGCGTCTAAACCGCAGACATCTCCCGCTTGAAATTGTGCCAGCCGTTGCATTGGCAAGAGTAACAACACGGCCAGAGAGCATTGGGAGCAACGCCGGACAGCTTTGGCTCAATTGGACACACAGCAAGGCCCTTCGCCATTGCAAGAGGCACTCATGGTATGTTGCTTTGACTCCTGTGTTTATGTCAAATGCGTGCAGCAAGCCGCCCAAGATGTGCATGATCATTCCAAAGACCTTGTCCTTGGGCTTATGAGCAGTAAGCAGGCTACCTCTGCGCAACAGTGCGATTCTCAAAGCAAACATGTCTGTTTATTTGCTTGCGCAAAATTTGGTGCTAACTTGTTTCCAAAAAGCAAAGCAAGTTGAGTCTCCAAACAGTCAACAGTAAAGCTGTTTGTGGTTTGTGATGGCCTGCGTCCGTTTCTCTTTGGTGGGTTGACATGTCGCACCCTGCCATACTCTATTGGGAGCGCCAGCGGCGAGAACGGCATCGCCCACGTCAGCCGCGACTCGATCTTGTTTAGCAACTCGAGGGAGCTGCAAAGTGGATAAGTTGTTCAACTGTGTGTTTGCGCGTGAATATTTATATGGGTGTTGTTTTTTTGGAGGGAACCTGTCTTTTGAGGGGTTCACTACAAAAAAGACACAACCATGTGAGCACGCCTGTGAATGTTTGGGTTTCATCTTATCCTTCGACTCCAAGAGAAAATAGGAATACACCTGCATCGTGCTTGGTCACCCTGACGTAATGACACTCACGCCAAATGAAGAGAACCAGCAATTGGCTCCCGGACAGTGCTTCTTTTGTGTAGATGATCACACCGTGTGAGGCAATGCACTTCCCAAGATCAGCATGCCCTCGGCTGTTTTGCTGGCGGGGATTTTCGTCACTACTTGGTGTCTCAACATTGAAGATCCTAAGTCCACTGCTTCAATCCTTGGTTCTCTTGTGGTTGCCCCTCAAGCACATGTAAATAAGTATCTCTTTTTTTTTCGGAAGCCATGATTGGTCCTGATGCTTTGCAGAACGAGCTTTGTTCTTGTCTCCAATAAGCCTGTGGCTACTGCAAGCCGCACCGAGGCTTCGGCATGCAGACTCAGCTCCCATGCTACCTGCAATCCATGCAGCACACGATCTGCGATTTCCCAGCTGGGGTCTGAAATTATGTCTTTGCTGAGGGCATCGTTTTGGAGTTGTGTCAAAGGGAAACCTGTTTGAAACCACTTCTGGGCACCCCACTATTTTGAGAAGCACCCGAATGGCTGTTTTGAAAGGATCTTTCACCAACAGCCAGATCGCCTAGATGCAATCCTGATTCCTTGCTTCAAACTGAGACGGTACTGGCCTTGCTCGCGGTGGGCCTTGCTGTCTTGCAGTATTTGCGGAAGAGCCGAACGTGCACGACCTTTGAACATGCCCACCCCTCCCCCCCCCGTCTTGCCAACATTTGGGCACAGGTCGCCATTAAGTCACCAAAAGACAGCAGGTTTTAGTCCAAGTTTCCCTTTACCAGGGAAAGCCATTGTGGGTACCTTTTTTCACATATTTTGACCCACAACTAGGGTTTCCCAGCCATGAATCCCTTGTTTGGAACCTCCAAATGTTTTTGGAACTGGACAAAGCTCCAGGGTTGTGGGATCAAGGGGTTTATCCAACCACTCTTGTGATAGGAATCTCCCCCTTACGGGAGTTAGTCTTTGGGCCTCGCCCTTTTCTTGTATCACAGATTCGGGGATGCCATTTCCCACAACCCTGTTCTTGACCCACAACCATTTGGCCATGGTTCAAAACCGTTTTGGGATCCCATTTTGGTTGGTAGGTGAATTCACCCATTTAGAACCTATTTTAGTGGGGATTGGGATGTTCACTGGGGGTACGATTTGGATTTTGACCCACCGCCATTTGACGAAACCGCAAAAGAAACAAGGAAAAGGGACCCCCCGAAACACAAAAGCCCGCCCAATACAGGGCACGGTTTGAAACATTTGATTTGCTTTTCCCCAGAATTGGCTCCTCTTTTGGTTTTTTGGGGTCCCCTTGTTTTCCACTAACCAGGCAAAAAAGATAAAACTTTTGGCTGGGGTCCTAATTCCAGCCAAGTTCCGTGTCTGACTTTTCTTGCTCCTGAACTCGGGAAAGCGAAGAGACCTTCCAGCTGCTCCCTGGTTAAGAAATTCGATACCTGCTCCGGCGGTCCACGCCTCCGCGCTCGACGCGCTCGGCGCTCGCTTCAGGCCTGCCGCCCGCCGTGCACCGGCGAGAAGCCACGCGCCTCGGGGAGAAGCTGCGAGAAGCCACTCAGGCGATCCCGGCAAAATGGATCGGCGCAAGGTGCTCACTGTTGTTAACCAAAAATCAACAAAACCAACAAACTTGCCAAGAACAGTGAGCACATTCTTGGCAAGTTTTTTTGGAGGGGGCTTCGACTGGTTCTGTTCATTTTTGGTTGGCAAGGTTTTGTTTGTTTTTTTTGGTTCAACTGGTTCTGTTCATGTTCAGTAGGTTTTTGTTGAGTTCAACTGGTTCTGTTCATTTTTGGTAGGGTCCTGCCAAGAAAAGGTTGGTTGTTGGTTGTTTTTTGGTTCTGTTTCTTCCCCGGCTTGCTGAAAGCTACAGGGGTTCTAACTTCTCGTAAAGAAGGGAACACAGGGGAACATGATTTGCGAGATTGGATTGTGCTTTTTTGGTTCTGTTCATTTTTAGTAGGGCTGCAAAAAAAGAAGATGTTGGAGTGATTGTGAGGATGTGTTCAGTGTGCAGAAAAGTTTGGAACCAGGGGGGTATGTGTGTGTGTGTGTGTGGGTTGTTTTTCTTTCTTTTTGTTCTTCTTTTTGTTTCTGGGGTGTCCATGTTGAAGCTTGGCGCATTGGACATGGCTCCAACTTCGGCCATTTGCATGTGGCCATGGCTGGCAGGCCAGGATGGCATCGCAGGTTGTGATAGCGCAGATGGAGGCCTTGACAAACGCTGCATTTAAGCTCATCAATGCACCACGTGTGTGTGTGTGTGGTGTGTGTGTGTGTGCGGGAGGAGACATGTTCCACAACAGCTGTCTTGCCCAATTGTTGCGTTGCCATGAAAGTATGTCGCAAAATAGTGGGAGGGGGGGCGGGGATTGCTTTTCACGGTTACCCGGAATTAAAGCAGCTAGTTGGAGAGATGCTGATTCTTGGATGACTGGTGTGCTTTGCTGTTTCGCCAGAAGCGTCTCATCGCAGCGGACGCAGTGCACCAGGCATCACAGGCGCGAGTTGCGAGCAGCTGACAGTGCAAGCACACTTCTGGCTTTCCAGCCATGCTGTCCCTGGTGCAAGACGTCTTGTAAAGGCTCATGCTGGTACGTCTCAGAATTAGCAGCAGCGCTCGTGACTGGTACAGATGTCGTTGTGATGCACTTTAAGCAACTTCATTGCTCCAAGCTCCTTTCACACAACCACATGATTCCAGTTTCAGTTCTTGTCCATTCAACAACACCCAAAATAGGTTCCCGTGTATGAAAGCAATGTGAGCAGCTGAGCAATCATCCCACATTTGAATATGTATTGATACGGCCAGAGTACCCGAAACAGTTGAGATTTCGCTGTGATGCGAGATGATCGCCAAGTTTGTTTCCTGTTGTTTTGGACTGGCGTAGACTCGTTTTGTAACAAAACCACGGGGGGGCCATCTCTTTTGTTTTCCCTGCTTTCAAGCTGTCAGTACAAGCGAAGCCAAGCTCACTTTGGCTCCAAAAGGGACCACTTTTCTGAAGCGAGCTGTGGCAGCTCCAGCTCGGAGATCGCAACTTACGGAATCGGCACTCGCTTTGGTTTGTCGCTTTCGCGCCCCGAAGCCGGCTGCGTGTACAACCAGCGTTGGCATCATCACAGTGATCTCGTTTTTAAGTGGCTTCTACAGCAATGCGGAAGACAAGGTAAATAGTCAGCTGCTCATGTGAATTTGTTTCAAGATGGTGGAACCCCCAAATGAGTCTTTTGCTTTTGGTTCTCCATTGACAATTGAAGCACCCCAGAAAAGGGTAGCTTCCAAAACAGTAACCCCGTGTCGCTTTCCAACTCTTTGCAGCTGGTCGGCGTATGGCGTGTTGTTTGCAGGACTACTCATTGGCAAGGCCGCGCTGCTCTCTCGGTTTTCGATGCGTGGGTATGTGTCAAACTCGGGGAGCCCCGGTTCTCTTTTTCGTCTCCCTTGAGTCCAACCTGAAAGGCATCCTCAAATATTATCTTTCCGCCTGCGGCTGCATAGCCACGATCCCATTTCCAATCAGAGATAGGTGACGCCTTTTCGATGCTTGAGCAGCCTCCTTCAATGCCCGGTCTTGATTTGATTGTGACTCATTTGGTGACATACTGGGCGAAATCCATTTCGCACCGCCCACGCATCCCTAGTTTCTGATGACTCCCCTGTAAAAACGGAAGACAAACGTTATGGCTTCAACCAGCGGTTTCCTTTCACGCTGCGAAGGGATTTGGCAACCATCCGTGGATTCGATGGCCGTAGAAATTTCCATGCGTCCAAGGCCACGGTTGTCTCAAACACACCGCTCTTTCCCCATAATTAGTTCCCCCTTTGTTTTATTTTTATTTGGTTTTTTGCTTTCTTGGGGTTTCCTTTGTTGTCCACTAGCCAGGCAACAAACTATTTTTTGCTGGCGTCCTAATTCCAACTCATCAGAAACCAGAGGGTCTCTTAGCCATTGGTGCACCAAAATTATTTAACCTTATTGAAACCAAGAGTCTTGGCTTCAACCTTATTGAAACCAAGAGTCTTGGCTTCAACCTTATTGAAACCAAGAGGCTTGGCTTCAACCGGCTGAAACTGCATGGCTCCATGTTGCTGAGCACGTTTGGATTTGGACTTGGCATTCCTTACGCTTCGGGTGGAAACTGCAGGTCCGCCCAGCAGCTTCCAATGGCCTGTGTCGGGGCCTTTTTGCACGCGCTGGAGCTGAGCGCAAGAGCAGACGCATGCGCAAAGAAATCACGTTGGGGAAGCACGACGGGGCTTGTCTTTGTCAGGATTCCTTAGAAACATGCCGCTGTCTGGATGGATGAGAGCGAGGGCGCGCACAAGTCACCTAAGATATTGCAAGGCATGTAAGACAGATCTGTGGCCAACCTGCAGCTTTATGAGACCACGGACTAAACATGACTTCCATTTGATTAAGAATATTATTATTTTTTAAGGGAATCTATTTCACTACTGGACATATTTGTTTTTTCCAGGGGACGAAAACGCAAATGGAGGATGAGATCTCAGAGAGGCCATGGCTTCAAAAAAGGAAGCCTTCACTACGAGGGGGTCGATCAATTGTCCACAAAAGGTGGCAACACGACCCCCCTGTCTCAGAGGGCGTAGACATCCTTGGGGCCAACTGAACGAACGCGAGGCGGTGCCTCCATCAGCTCGAGCAATGCCGTACGAGCCAGGCAGGGCCGGCAACTTGCATCCGTTCGCTTGCAACAGAGACGTCCCGTTGCTTCCCGCCCAAGGCCTTCCATTACCCTCCCCCAGACCAACATGAAAGCTCCCAGGACCCTTTTGGAAGACTTGGTTCCATTTACAGACGCCTTCTGGGAGCTTCCATGTTAGTCTGAGGGAGTGTACGAAACATCGCCCACCTTTTTCCGCCGAACTTTGGTGGTTTTCAAAAAACAACAAATTGAAAGCTTAAAAAGACCCATGAGAAGGGGAAACCAAGAGGTTTGCCCAATGGATACCATTTGCCAATGTTTGCCCCCATGGCCACTTGGTCGCTGGGCAAAGTTGTGAAATGTGCGACCCCTCACTGGATTGGTTGATTCCAACTGGCAACAGGCTGACACGCTACGATTCCCTGTGCAATTCACCCCGATCATTGGAAGCTCGGTACGATGGTTTCTTTCTCGACAGCACCTATGCACCTCCATCAATCTCGGAAGGCAAGAGTACGTCTCAGTCAGATGTTCGGCCCACGCAGCGCATAAAAATGCGACCATCGCTTCCCTTCGCAGCGGCATACGGCGCAGCGCGTCGAAACCGCTTCGCCTGCCCTTCCGGCGAGGCGCCTTTGCAAGGGCGGCTCCGGCGTATTTGCCCCCGTGGGTCTCCAAGGAGACCTGGGGGCAGGTTCAGGCCCTGGCCAGGGATGCGGCCCGGGCCCCGTTTTGGGCGGGGGGGGGAAAGGCGGGGGGGGGGGCCTTTTTCGAGGGCTTCCTGTTGGAGCACAGGGAATCGATTTCACTACTGGACATAGATATATATATATATATACATATTGTTTTCCAGGAGACCAAAACGCAAATGGAGGAGGGGGGTCTATGGGATGTCAGCTTGAGTTTCGGTGCGGAGGTGGATGCAAGGACACCCCGGAACGAAGGATTCAAACATGTCTTGGCTGTAGAGAAATGGATCATCACCGGATTGCTTTCCCGCTTGTGCCTTACAACAAGATCATGTCAGACCAAGATTTGCCAAATCGCTGTCGCGCGCCATGAAATTTGCTCAGGGAGAGGCGATGCTTGACTGCTTGAGCTCTTGCTCCAAGGCTTACATATGCTCAAAGCCCGAAGAAAATAGATTCCGCAAAACCGGCACCCAAAATTGATCCCTGGTAATTGGAAACATGGACCAAAACCCTGCGTAACCCCAGCTGTTTAGTTTTGAGCCACATTGATTTGGACTCAATGTTGATTTCCCACCAGGAGGGATCCCCCGGGCCTTGCAGGGTCCCGGGAGCAACAAGCCCGGCCATCCCCAAGGCTACGCAGCGCGTGCAGGGGAAGCCATGGCTACCGAAGGCAAGCAAAGCGTCGATCTCACGTTCAAGCGGTTGTGTGTGTGTGTGTGTGCCACCAAAGATCTTTGTTGGTAGTGATAGAGAGAGAGAGAGATAGAGAGTGATAGAGAGTGATAGAGAGATAGAGAGACAGAGAACCTGGCCCTATGTGGTGTAAGATTCGTGTGCTGTCGCATTTGCGTGTAGTGCCACCAGCTAGCAACACGCGCGGTGTCATATTCTAGCGGCTGTTCATTCGTCTTTGTCTCAGGTACCCAGCAACCTCGCCCTGATGCACACGAGCCTCAAAGCTTGAAGCTGACTTCAGCGTGAGCCGAGTGCCACAGGTGCCGTGCAAAACAAATTACTCTGTCTCCGAATGCGTAGGTTTTCCAGGCCAAAGGCCATGTCCCACGCAGGAGACCTGTATGATAGGCAAGGAAGAGCAACTGCGCAGTCCTCTTCTATTGGGCTGGATGCGAAGCTTCCTGCATCCTGAGCAGCTGGCAAAGCAACCCTGGAGCCAAGGTACCTAAGTTGCATCTCTAGCAATGGTTCACAGCAAATGGCTTGGAATTGGATGAAAGCGCGGCTCAGTTGCTACACGAACAAATAACCAACAAGCAGCAGTTACACGTTGCATAAGCTTAGCATCCTCATGGCTCGCGTTCTTGACTTAACGCGTACAGGCTGCAAGTTTCTTGACACCAAAGGCTTGGTTTTGCAGGCTGACTCCACATCTCTAGTGACAGAGCCGCCGAAGCCATGGACGTGCTCAACTTCACCGTGGCTGCAGAGTTGCGCCTTTGTCCACGGGGTGTTAAAACGAAGAACAAGAGACACGTTTTTTTTGAGGTTGCCCCTGTGGTTTGAACGGGAGAACTGGAAGGAAAACCAAGTTTGGGGGTCCCCGAAAAACAAATGGAGCCACACGAATTGCGAGGAAGCAATTGGACATTTGTGTGGCCCCTCTGAAAGTGTAGATTTCCCGTTCGGTCCATTGTGAGGGTTTCCCCTGCAATTTGCCACACCTGTTGCGTTGCTTGTGATGTACAGAAATGCCGCGCTTTGAGTGTCCAGGGATCCAGATCTTCCAGTAGTGCCAACTTTTATCGTTTCTTTTTTTGGGGAGGGTTAAAATAGACTGCAGAAACAAATAGGGTACCCTCATTCTCACCTCTCTACTGGAGGACCTAGGATCGGTTCTAATGCCCATTGGATTTTGTACAAAGGCTGGGAGCCGTGGAAGACGTGGTGAAGACCCACCTCACTGGGCCAGCCCCCCAGTGCTCAGTCTGAGAGAGAGAGAGAGAGAAAAAAAAAAGAGAATCTCACTCACTGAGTTAATGGAATTTATACATTTTAAGAAGACCATTTTGGTGGCGAACAAAAGTTTACCAATCCACTTGGGAAGTGAGGAATTTACCTGTACGGCCAGGGATTCGCGCTACACGCAGGGCTTTTGGGAGGATGTCCAGGCCTTCGTCCATGCAATCGTCAGGGGCCCAAGACACGAGATCCGGATCTCGAGTGAGTCGCTTGGCATCTCAGGACTGGAAGGCGGATACCTGGATATTTGGGCTTTTCCTCCTGGAGTACCTCTGCTGCAGTTCGCTGATTTTGTCCTGCTGACACGAATCGGACGTGAGGCTTTTGGACATCCTCCTGATCTTGGTCAGCCGGAGGCGACGGGAGCATGAGAAGACATAGCTGTTGTCTACCAATGGACGGGTTTGCAGCAATTGGAGATGCCTGAAGTCCCCCCAAAACGTAGTTTTGGATTGTACGAGTACCTGGTTCATTCACTCAGAAGCAATGTCAAAATCACTGCTTTACCCAGAGGCTTCAACCTTCTAAGGAGGTACCGAACGACCCCGAACAAACCACCAAAAGCCATCGTCAGGTACCAAGGGACTGTCTGGGTTAGAGGGACATCTGAGCAAAGAGGTGCATATGGAGAGATGAAGTCTTAGGTCTTGGGAGAGGCTCGCAGTGATCTTCATGGCTTGCCACTCAGACGCGTTCGAATGTTCTAGGGCTACCTTCCATTTCCATTCTTTCCAGGGATCCGAATCTTTTCAGGAAACCATCACAAACCCAGGGAAAAAGCTGGTTGTTGAAAACAACGCTGGTTGAAAAGAATGGAGAATCAACCCCAATAAATGTCCGAAAGTAAACCCGTGAGAAGCGTGGCTGAGGCAAACACGGCCATCCTCGCAACAGCGGAGCGGCTGAACAAGGTAGCCACAGCCTTGGGGCCTTCGACAGCTTCAGTCAAGTGTATCTCAGCCAGCCAGTGGACACACTTTACACTTTTTTTAGGCTGGTCACTAGCCAAGTGAGGTACTGAACCATCAATTCTTGAGCAGGTTCCCAAAAAAGAGATTCATATCCATTTGGAAGACAGCCTTATCCTGGAAGCATCAGCCACACACGGTCTTTGTGTGTATCCTTGTTTGGTTGGTTTGTGCTTAGGCCAGCGAGCACTGGAAGTCCTTCGCTAGTCAGGATTATTTCGACGCAGCTGGGGTCGCAGCCTGAAAAACACGGAAAGGACCTAGAGGTGCTCATTTTCCGTCACACTTAAAGGAGATGAATCGATTCGCATGCGGCCCCACTGATAGGTCTTTGCGTCTGTCCTCCTGGGGCTGCCTTTGCTGCCACGGCCTTCGAAGGATTCAGATCTGGTGAGTGACAGGACCATAGGTGCCCTTTTTTGGTTGGTTTGGTTGAAATAGAGGGCGATTCCTAGTTTTTCCTGGTGGTTCAGTCTCATCTAATTACCAGTGAAATCCATCTATCTGCCAAACAGCAGACCTATGGGCAGGGACTTGCGAGACGCTTTGCACCTTTGACAGAGACCTCAGGCTCTGCCAGTTTCTGATCGTCGGCTTCCTGCTCAAGGAGGCGGGGGGTGCTGAACCCGTCTGTTCACTCATCAGATCTCCTCGCAGGCTGCGATCATGGTAATTCGGGCACCTTGGCAGATGGGTATGGGTCAATTTTAAACCAC